GACCAAGTATCTGTTGTACCCTTTTCATCCACCCCAAGTCTGGCTGGCTGCAAAACATGCACGAAAGGATACTCAATCAGTTGCAGAGACATGCTATCAATATAAGCTATTAGTTTACTGATCATCACTTGTGTTCATAATTAGAAATTAAAATTCCACCGAAGAAGTTACTTCAATCTACGTTAGTTCGGCAGTTGTTGTGAGTGTTCGAAAATTCTTTTCTCATCTTTCACAGAAACTGAACTGTCACCTGGAGTGTGAGTATAGAATGACATGAAAAACCTTATGACCCTAGAATTGTTTGAAGTTTTGCATTTTCTGAAACTCAACTATGAACAACTTACAGCTGTAAAGATGCTGCAGAGTGGAAGTATACAATAGTATAAGGCTTTTGTATTAAGGGTTCAAACTCCTGCAAACCAATAAACAAGATTAGCTATACTAGTGGCCAACAACATAACTATACAATAACTCTACAACATATGCAGATTAATCCCAAATTTAATGCTGTATTACCTTAACAACATGGTGTACAAATCGTTCTAGATCAAGACATCGCAAAAGAAAATGTGCCCCCACTACCACCATTACAGGACGACCCTCGCTGTCAACCCCACCTCGGTAACTGAAATAGACAGAAAAATAGAAATTAGTTTAAATGAATACATCTCATACAACCATTTAGATGCAACCATTTTTAGATTCATAATATTCCTAGGTTCAGCCACCATTAGGTAGCAACATATCAACATTTGCATTGTTTTTAACAACATAAAAGCTTCTCCTTTTTTTTTCTGTGTACAAGATATGAGCTAACGGAAGTGCTACTGCTACCAATAGCAAAGAGTAAATTAGAATGAAAAGCACTTTACATATTAGCAGCTGTCCAACTGTGAAAATCTACAAGCTTAAGACTCCACAACTGCCACTGAGTTAATGATGAAAGAGTTATAAATCTTACACAATTTTCATTTCTGCAATTTCTGAAAGATTAAGAGAATTTGCTTTAGCAAGGTATCTTGAATGAAGCGAGTATTCTTCTGCAGCAGACAATGGAGGTCCACCAAGCTCGCCAAACCCAAGCATTTTAGCACAATTCCATCCACTTTTTGCTTGAGCAGTTTTCTCCCATTGTTCCTTGCGTCTCTGATCTGGATCTTTTATTAAGGACATGAAGGCAGGATCCAAATATGAATCCAAATATGATGAGTTCCTATATAACAAATTCAGCAAGTAAGTCAAGGATTTTAACCAAAAGAGCTAATGATAATGGTATATCAAAAGGAACAATAAGCTTGATAACCACAATAACAGAGAATGTAAGTGCACAGACATCTATGAAGTATGAAACTTGACTTATGAAACATGGAATTCTTCAGCAGCTTTCTCCGGCAAGAATTTTCTAGGCATCTCTTGATTAGTCAAAGCTGCCCTAAGTTTTTCTATGATATGCTAAAAAATTCTAATCGAGTCATTGACTGACCTTTGTACCAAGCCAACATCACTCACAGGAAGCTCAACTGGAGCCTGGGGAGGCTTTGGAATATTCTTCTTGGGTAAGGGCTTTATTCTGATTTTGCGCTCATCTATAATTGTCTCGCCATTTTCATCACCTACATCTGCAGGGAGCTTCGAGAAGGCAATCTCCTCTTCAAGTTTATCTCGGGGAAAGTAAAGCGGAAGTAATCTAGGTTGGGAAAAAAAAGTAAAGGGGAATGATTTCTCAATATTTTGTAACAGTAAAACCAAAAATGGAGTTTAGAAGTCACATATATCATGATGAAGCAGCCTGTGCTCTATAAATAAATAACTATGTTTATTAACCTTTTGTATATCTCTGTATCCATTGATGTGGTAGTACAAAAAACAACAGCTGCGATTTTATCTTTTTGCTTTTCCAGAAAACGTCGTACAGTCCCTGAAAAAAACAGAAAATAGATAAGTTGGAGAGTAAAGAATGAGAGAAATAATCGAATATTCAGTGAACTTTATCCTGCAGCAACTAAAACGTTGATGTATATACATGACTAAAATTTGAGTAATCCGGCACTCATACTAATAGATAAGCAAGTTATATGTATCATAGAATGCCAAAGACATGCACATATTTTAAAGATTGTACCATAATCTAACTCATCATAAGAGACTACATCTGCAAGAGATAACAGGAGCCATCCTCACTTTTATTTTGAATATTGGTTGATTGTTATCCTTTCCTTACCATGCGATATTAATGTTATGATTTTGTATATAATCCAACAAAAGCTAGTATCAGGCCTTTCTATTTCCCATGGATGCACAGATATGCTCAATGTACTTCACGTGCTTCACATAATACATCATTGCAAAGAAACTAACTTCTGAAACATGTAAGAAAGTAACTCACTTATAGCAACATGGGCAGCTGGCTCACGAGGGTAGTTCTTAGCTTCTGTATATATACAGCCCATTGCAATGCTACAATGCATTGGCCAAACAAAATAAGCTTCACACTTTACAAAGAACAAAACAAAAGGGAAGAACAATTGATAGCACAAATCATCTGCCAAGCACCTTTGCAGCCCATTTTCAATGAGAAGTTCAAGGCAAGAACGATAACAATGGCTCAGAGCATTTTCTGCAGCAGTATGGTATTTCACTGCATACTTGGGACCGACAGTATGGATAACCCTCCTGGAAAAATGTACAAGGAAAGAAACATCATTCGTTTAGTCAAAATACATACATGAAAGGGTACTTGTGCACAATGAACTCTCTAAATGAAAACTTTACTGCTGTACCCACCTAGCTGGAAGGTCATACGCTTTAGTAACCTTTGCCATCCCTGTTCTACATCCACCCTGCCAACAAACAGAGGTATATCAAATCAGTTGACTCTTAATAGAAACTAATTCTGACAGCACACCACAGGAGGCTTTAAAAAGCCAACGACATTGAAAATTCCATGTCGTATCCCATTCAACATCTTCGATTTTACCCATAAATCTGTATTTACATTGCATTTCAAGTTTCAACAACTGACGAAGAATGTCTGAAGACAAGAGTGCATACCAGTGCTGCACATTCTTCTGCAAGACCAGGTCCAGCCGCAGCATGCAAACCAGGACTACAATGTGCTTCATCCATGTTCTGTAAATCGTCCAATCGAAAAGCATGTCAGACTAGTACAATATATTAGACACTTGTTTCTTTTACCAATGTCACCAGGTTTATATATCACGAAATCTCTTTCAAAGATTCATCATCATAACCTAGTACTCACCTCATTTGTAGAATTCACTACCGCATCAACTTCGAGATTCCATGGGTTCCCTCTCCATAGATATATCTTTGAATTAATTTCATGGTCAACTGGAAATCTTGAGACTATCCCATTGCTACTGCTCTCTCCCCCAGATTGGGAAGTTAAAGGATCAGGAAAAAACGAATTTGAAAACGAATTTAACGAAGGATCTTCATTGTCATATTCCAAGGAAGAACGATGCTCTGAATTGCTCCACCGTGGAACTTGATCCAAAGTGACAACACAATCCCCGCTATCAGTCGGAGATCCGCCCCTGGTTGCAGTTGTGGCTGTAGCCACAGTCCGGTACATTTTTGTGACTCCGAATTGCAGTCACAATCCCGAAGCGAGAATCACTAGTAACACCAGAAATTTCAAAATTCAAGCTTTCAACTCCCACATGAATTCCACAATGCTAACCAAACTAATCACGCAGAATTTCCCTGAAAACGAAAGAAAGAAGCTATTTAACAATCAAATTTATCACATTTATATACAAATAAGATCATGATTTTCAACAAAGTTACACAAGTTAGCTAAAACAAATTTGAAGTTTTACACAACCAAATAAACCCTTTACCTAATTTTACCAGTTACAATTCCGCGAGCAATTTCAACCGAAAAATCACCTTTTCTTCTTCCTCCCCTCTTTTTGCTGAGAAGCCCCAATTCCAATTCAAATTCTAATAGAGCAAGCTTTCAAAGCACCAAACAGCTGAATTTCTTAGAAATCCCGTTTGGCAGCTGAGAAACTGCAAGAAAATGAAACGAATTCAATTGTCCATTACATAGAACCAACGGGAACTGTACATCTAACCCTAGCCTGGAATTTTCCGAGAAACAATTGAAATTGAAGATGAAAATCAAATAAATGAAATTAAAAAAAAAAATTGAAGAAATTGTAAAATCCGTGGAGAAGAGAGAGGGGAAGAGCACCTGTGTGACAGAGAGAGAGAGAGAGAGACAGCTATGATTGCTGGGTCGCTGAGCTTGCAATCCCCATGGGATTTTGGCCAAGATTAGGATATACACACGAATAATGTAAAACTAAATTATTAGTTTTTTATATAATTTTTTTACTGGACTTTTAATTTTTTTTATTTGGTTTTCTTGTCTTTTGCCTTTGATTACCTAGGAGATCTATGTATGCCTAAAACATAAATTGCGTTGGATATCATTTTACTATTATTATAAAAGTGAATAAGAGCGTTATTGAGTTTCAGTTGTAGAGTATATTACATATCCACGTATTATGAATTGAGTAAAATAATAATGATACATGAACGCATTTTAAGTTCATTGAAAATTTTCTCAACAATCATCTTTTTCCTACAATTCTTTGTGAAACCATGCATTTTAATGTTTTGAGAAAATAATAGTCACATGAACGTGTTTTCAGTAACATAAATTACCTTTTTGTCACAAATTTTCTTCATACGATTATGAAGCAAAAGTAGAAAAATCCGTATCGCTATCACTATGAAATGAAATCATAAATTCAAATGTTTGGAACTTTGTAATTTAAGATTGTAAAAGCCTTTACCTACTTTTTAAAGTTCATTATTTTGTTTTGTCCTACGTCTTTGTAATTTGAAGTATTCCCTAAATCATGCAAAAACCTGCATAATCCTCTTACATACTAGTCTCTTAGCACGCGCTTACATGTATAAATATCATAATTATATGCTCGTAATAGTCGGGGTCGTATCTCCCATACTGCGCATCAATTGAATCGTTTTATGCTCGTAGAGTCGTAGTAGTCGTGGTCGTGTACTCTTATTACAAATTTATTCATCTCTTCAAACGAGAAGATCCTACGAGTTACTTGGAAATTACGGTTTACAGAAAGCAGAGAGCTTGCACAAGTTAGTAAAAATCAATCCTTGACGCCAGCCTTCTCCTTCAACATTGCGATGAACTTGTCTTTCTCGTCAGGTGTCATTCCCTCCGCCGAGCAATCTCCAACTCCCCACTCCGCCCCGCGTATGCAGTACTTGTCTTGAATTTCCTTACTATTCCTGCACATTTTCAATTTCGATTCACATAACACTTTACAAGGTAACATACGACACGCGATACATCTGTATTTTGTTTCGACGTTGGAATTGTTGCTCATTCCTTAACAACACGATTGTTTGACGTAAATGATATCAAAACCTCGGTCACTCCTTTAAAGCCTCCAGGCTCGTGCTACTGTATATTTAGGGTTTATGTGTAGCAGTAGCACAAGCCTAGAACTTTGGCGGTTGATCTTATGCGAAGAACTGACTTACTTTTCTTTGTTGAGCTTGGATTTTTCTAGTAGCTCCTTGAGTATTTGAGTTGATCTGAATCTTGCATCATTTTCTGCATACTTTTTCTGGTTTTCTTCTGCAACAACATTTGGTCACATATTTGAGTAAGCTTGATGAATGTAATTCTCAGTGGACCGGGAGAGGGTGAAAGTTGAACCATTGAAGCGTTTGAGGAAGTCGATTTGAGGCAACTCAGGACCCGGAACTGATTCTATTCCGGTCGATCCTGATAGAAATCCAGCTTCAGCTGCAAACAAGGTACATAAATTTAATTTTTCGATCTTCTCAGCTTCCCTAATTTGAAAACTATGCTAGAGGACTAATACCTTACTCAATCATAGCAATTATTCATAAACAATAGTTACAATACCATGATCTGCATTCTGTTCCCTTGGTTCGAAAACAATGGTTAGCCGTCCTCCAATTTAAGGGCAAGTTGCATGGTTGACCGAACGGCCAGACCTACTGTTTGGCTACTTACATGTAAGATGTCGTTCATTCTTTTATGTCAATCAGAATTCGAGACATACCAAAACATTTCGTTAAAACTAGAAAAGTAAAAGTTGCTTCGAATATGTCACATTCTAATTTGTCTACAAACATGCATCTCCAAGAGGCCAAATAGTTTCCCTTTTAAAATCCAGGGACGAAAATGCAACTAGGGTTTCAGGTTGAGGAGGATTGTTACAATTAAGCCTTTTCGCATTTGTTATATGTCACTGATATCTCAACGGGAACAAATAAAGAAGAAATAATATTTGGGTCCTTTGAACTACGTACCTGGATTTGAGCAGAGGAGAATGGCAGCTGAAGCAGCCAAAGAAACGGAGCCTTGGAGAAGAACGCGGCGGCGAGACGTCGGAGCCGGAGAAGAAGAACTAGAACAAACTACGACGGTGGTAGGTCTTTTACAGCTCTTTACTTGGACTCTGCTATGCAGGTTACCAGGTTTTTCCCAGACATTTAAATTGGTGCTTGAAATATTAAAGGAAGAGTGGGAGAGAGCTGAAGATGAAGAGGAAGCCATGGTTTTGTTTGGTCCCCAAGCCGAATAAGAGATAACAAGTGGAGGTATATTAACTTATATTTACGGCTTATATCGACCACAGAAGCATACAACTACTTTTGAACGTTTTTTCACAAAACGGCAGTGTATTTGTACTCGTCAATATGTCGTTTGAGGTGACAAAACAAAAACGACGTGTTTTTATTTGCTCTGTTGTTTGCCATAAACACGGGTCGGTACGTAAGTGTTATAATACAAGTAATTGAATTTTTTTTAAGCATCCAACTACTTGTACTATAATACTTTTTGTACTAATCATATTCCCAACGCACTGAAAAGTTTCTTATCGATTAGGCTTTTGAAGTCTTTTGATGGAGGCAATAGTAGAAGACTTTGAGTAATGGAGTAAATGTTCTAAACTTTGAAAGTACGAACACATGTCATCCGTACAAGTCACTACAAAAATATAAGTATTTTTTCAATATAATTGTCACACTATCTGTAACGTGATATGATTAATTCATCCATAATATAGCACGTGTATATATTATTTACTGGACGATGCTTGTAGCTATCCCAAAGTCCACTTCGATGCCTGCTAAATTGTGATAATTAAATGACAATTAAGAAAATGAATGATTCTCGTGAAAATTCAGTATTGAGAACACATAATTTTCTTATTGTATTGAGGACACATAATTTTCATAAGAAAATTGCTTTGCCTTTATTACTGAAACAGAAACCAGACTGAGAAAACAGAGAAAGCTTGCCAAGACATGCCTCATGCATGTTGCTTCTTCCAATTCTCAATTAGCTGCTTGAACATTTTGTCCCGGCCACCACCGGCTCCGGCGGCCCTCTTAGCCTCTCCTCCAACCCTTTCAGCTTCCACCCTCAGATCTTCACTCTCCATCAATTCTCTAATCTTATCAGCAATCATTTGCCCCTTCACCACAATCCGATCACCACCACCCCAACCCCAAGTTTTGTCCCAAATCCCAACCCCACTCCTCACAACCACCTCTGCATTCACCTTTTGATCCCCATTCAGCGGCCAAGCCAGAACCCTAACTCCGTTCCACGCCGCCTCCACCACCGAGTTCCACCCACAATGGCTCACAAACCCACCCACCGCCTTGTGCCCCAAGATTTCTCCTTGCTCCACCCACCTTCTCACTACAACCCCCCTCCCCTTCACTTTTATTAAATTACCCTCATCTTCCTCCTCCCTGTCAACCAGCTTCTCCTTCACCACCCACAAAAACCTAACCCCACTTCTCACCAACCCTTCTCCCACCTCTCCGATTTGTTCCGTCGACAGAGCTGTCCTGCTTCCGAAGCTCACATACACCACCGACCCATCAGGCTGTTCATCCAGCCACCTCTTCAATCGATCGCCATCACCGACGTCTCCCTGCAGCTTCTCAAATTCACAGGGCACAAAAGGCCCAACAGAAAAAATTGGTGGCAACCCATCAGCCGTAATCACTTTCCCGCCATTAAGCGCGCCCAATGCCTCTGCTTCCAGCTCTTCAAACGAATTGATCAGAATCCCATTCAAATTTTTGAGCTTTGGACCGTCATCCAAGAACAAACTCGAAAAAAAACTGTTTGGATTCAGAAGCAATGGAGGAATCGACGATTTGGAAATTGGCGGACTGATGCCGGGGATTTCAAGAACACCATCGTCCGTGAGCTCTGTTAAAGAGGAAGCTAATTTGTGGTAAGATGCGAAGAGAGACAACATTCTGGCGGAGGTGGTGACAAGAACGTAGGCAGGGACATGAAAAGGGAGGCTTTCGACGGCGAGGATAACCGGGGAGATTAAACTGATGTCGAAGATAATGGCGGAGGGAGGCGGACAGAGAGAAGAGAGCAGAGGAGTGAGGAGGTATGCAGAGCGGCGGATGGCTTCAAACCTGACGAAAAAAGGGTCAGTGGATTTGGCCGTTGAAGGGTCTAGAGGAAGGAGATGGAACTCGAGCTCACTGACTCGGTCGGGGAAGGCGGAGAGGAAGCGAGTGATGAGTGACGACTCGGCGAGTGAGACTGTGGGGTGGGTGGTGATGAGGGTGAGAGTCAGGGGGCAATGGTTTTGGGAAAGCAGTAATGCGGCAAGTCGTAGAAAGGGAGTGAGATGGCCCATGCCGGCGCTGGGGAATAGAACGACATGAGTTTTGTGGAGGAAGTCGCCGGAGTCCGACATTGATGTTTGGAGTTGGAGTTTGGTCTCTGAGGAATTAAAAGAAGAAGAAGAAGAAGAAGAAGAAGAAGAAGCTAAATTATAACTGAATTAAATAAATTAAATTATAGCTAAAATCCCTAAATTAAAGAAAAATAACAAATTTAAAAGAAGAAGAAGAAGAAGTTACAGACCGCAACAATGGCTGGCTGATAGTGAGGAGGAGTCTCAGGAGGAGTGGCAGTGCCTGGTGTGTCTGCTGCACTTCACACTATCAGGTTTTGAGAGAAGATTCAGACTCCAACCTCCATGGCTGTTTTCTGCACATCCCCAAATTTAAAAACCCAACAAGAACATCTAACAGATAAATAATGAAATAATCTGAAACTTTCAGACAAGAGAAGGAAGTTTACCAGAGGGAGATCGCGACCTAGGAGGGAGAACGCGAGCTCGGAGACGAGGAAGATCAACGAGATCAGGGGAAGGACGCGAAAATTTCAGATCTAAAGAGAGAATCTGGTGGATAAATATTTATCTTTTATTTGTAAGTAGAGGCGATTCGGTATGGAATTCCAAATCGAACATGGTATATCGAATTCCAAATTGAAAATTTTCAGCATGGGAATTTGAAGAACAATCTCGAACTGAAATTTTGGTATTCTTAATTTTCATGATTCTCGAAATGTATTAATTATTTCTGGTTTGCATTTTCGATTTTGAGTTTTTAAGTTAAATTTTGAATTTTGAAATTTTTGGGTTACAGACTAAAATTTGACTTTTTCGCCTAAAATTTTGTTTTCCAATTGTATAACTATTTAAATTTAAACTTTTTACTTCATATCAATTTAAAATTTTATACCAATTGAAATACCAATTCATTCGTACCAAGTCAAATTAATGTTTCAAAGCTTCAAACTACTTAATTTCATGCTTTTATTTCTAATATTGACATACCCCGTCTGAAATCAAGGCGTGTTGGGCGTCACGTGAAAGTGACGTAGCCATGTGCACAGTGCGGAAGCAAGATTAATATAAGAAATGCGAATAAATAAAAACCGAACTAACTAAAGCACTAGATAAGATAAGGCGCAAGACGAAATAAGTGTGAATTCACAACCAGAGTATAAGTAGCCTAAGTGCAGTCCAGCAGGACAATTACTAATTATACAACACCCAAAGGTGACCATACAATGCTGATAATCTGTCAGAACTGCCGTAGATTCCTCGCAAGCCACCAAAAAGCACTCCTAACTAGAACCTGAAGGGGCGCAAAACAGAAAGTGTGAGTGGGCAAAAACAAAGTTTTTCAAAACTATTTCAATTACCAAAGATAATAACCCCTCGTCGTAAAACCTGTATAATTTCACAGAAAATGGAATACATATCTATACCACAACCATGCTCAGAATAGCAAAATTCACAATATGCCATGTCGAATATCTCAGCATAAAAAATATGTAAGCCAGGTGATATAAATCAATGCAAATGATATGTCAGCCAGAGTCATCTAATGTGACTTGTACAGTTGAATCTAAAGCTCATTCATCTAGCTGGAGTCACCTAACGTGACCTATACAACTCAAATCCACATCTCAACAAATATACCTGCACACGAGTCGGAACTACCTAAAGTGGTCTGTACGACAGGACTGGGTGTAAATAAATACGCTCAAGTGCTACGATCACGTGAAGACTGTGCGAATAATCGCGGGTCACCTACGAGTCGGAACCACCTACAATGGTCTGTACGACAGTACTATACACCTAACTTGGATCCAAGGTAAGCGTATCATGCAGGAGGTGAACATCATGTGAATGACTGTGCCCTAACTCTGGGCGGGAGCACTAACATCGAGGTGCAGGTTTATGAGCTCTCAACACATCTCACATAATCATCAATTCACATAAACAATCTATAACTCACCTGGTACTTACCTGAGCGTCCACCGTGTCAAATCACAATATGCACATATCATACAAATTCATAGTCTAAGTATAAATCAATAGGCATGGCATTTCAAACATAATTTCATTTAAATCGATTTTCTGGGAAAAATCTCAAGTATATAGGTATATACGGAAAACCAAAAGCCCACTCACTGGTATGTGGAAGGGTCGTAGCCCCCAAGCCTCGATTGACTGCACTCTTCCAGAGGATAGGTTTCACCTATATGCGAAACAACTATATAAACGTTAATTTAAAGCACATAAACGAAACTAGCTAATAACTTCTAAAACATTGCTTAAATGAGATGTTTAAATATACCAACGTGATCTACTCAACACCACAAACATCCCCATATTTTTAGAAAAATTTTCAGACCACCCACGTGCCTGCCAAGGCACGGCCAGACACGTCCCCACGTGTGGCCAACCCTAACGGAACAGTTAACGACAGTTAGGAATATTCCGTTAAAACCTTAACAGAAGTTAAGGGCGTTACCTGATGTCATTAGAATATTCCGTCAACTCTGACGGAATATTCGTCTTCTTCTCCGGCGGGCGTCGCCGGTTGCCGATGTCTGAAACTCGAATTTTCGCTGGTTTCTGGAAAAACTTTAAAACTTCATATCTCTTCTATTTCTCAACCAAATTCCATCAAATTTGTCTCAAATTAAAGCTTACAACGAAAAGAACAAAACTTTACCAATTTCAAGCCCTGAAATCCTTGGAATCTCGCCGGAGAAGCCTCGATAATCCGGCCAAACTTGAAACTCACTAAACTCAACTTCCCGACGTCCAAAACACTTCGTTTTTCTTCTCCAAGCTTTGTGAAGACGTTCTAAAACTTCCTAGCAGCTTAAAATCTCCTCAAAACTTCACATTTATGATTGCATGTACAGTGCTCGAATCGGAGATTATGGTTTCTCAGGAAAATGAAGGCTTCACGTCCAGATAATAATGTAGATGAGTTCCTGAGCTTGCAAGGAACATAAAAACATCCTCTTTGACGTCGATATGTGAAGAAATGGAATGGTTTAGGTGGTGTTCGTACGACTTGCACAAAAAATGGATGAAGTCCGAGAGACGGAGAAAGAGAAAAAGTCAACGGGGAAAAGGATTTGTGTGTGTGTGTTGTGTGGTCTAGTTTGCAACCAACCAAAAACAAGAAAACAAACGTAAGTCTAAGTTCCTAATTGGTTCCAAAATATTAAGGACTTAACATATTGGTCCACATCCAAAACTTAAACCACACAACACCACAAACGTTCAAGGGTACTTTAGTAATTTCACGCCATCGATACAAATATTTCTGGACGGGGTGTCACAAATATAGTCTACTATCAAACTACTTAAATTCAACATTCAACGTGCATGCAACCAAAAAATATATATATATATTTGGTTGAGTTCGAGATTTCTGAATCATTGAATATGTAATCCCAATTTTTGTACTGAAAAGTTCGGAATCGGTTCGGTATGAATCTCAAAAACTTCAGTATTATTGGTTTAGATTTTTTCAGTATATGATCGGGGTTTATTTGGTTTGGTTTGAAATTTTTGCAAAAAATTTCCAGCCCTACTTGTAGGTGTAATAGAGAGGTCTTGGGTTTGATTTTCGCCAAAGATAAATTTGAACTATTATTGGTAGTCAATTGTAAGGCCAAACCCTCCCCCTACTCTTAATATAAATATTATCTTTTGTTAAAAAAAAAATTCAAAATAAGGTAGAATGGTCATTTTGGAAAATCATTTAACTGGTATTAGCAGAAAGCAGGTGTTTCAAAGCTAATTTTTGCTGTACAATTAATGATACATTATTTATAAATTCTTGACATTATTATGTGGTCTTCCTATCGTTACGTTTTAATATAGTAGATGTTGTTGTTGTAGAATAGTGGATGTCCACTCATACAATTAAATAATGGCCCATTGTCTGCTGAAGCTTGCTGCACACTATTCTCATTTTCTATATAAATACAAACCCCACACAACACCAAAGTAGAGAGACTTACGGCAGAGAGAGAGGAAGGAAGAGGAAGAAAGAAAGAGAGAGAGAGAGAGAGAGGAATAAGAGATGAGAAAATAGTGAGAGTTATCTTTGTAATCTTATTATTCCAAATTATAATGAAGGCACCACTGTTGCCCCAAGAATGTACTATAGTCACACTGACTGTAGAGGAACCTCTTAAATTTTGTGTCTTGTTTCATTTATTCCACTATACACACCGTCGATTTTACAACAAATGTGAGATATTTGATTCACTCGGGAACGGATGCAAGCAAGTTTTTCGCAAGCCCTACTTTTCCATGTAACTTATGAGTTGAAGCATATAATTGACTATTGCTACCATCAAACCAATTATTGTAAAAAATAACTCGTTTATGGGTTGTTCACGTATTATAATCAATGTTAAATATCGGTATTAGTGGAATTATTGATATTTAAATTTGTGAAATGTCGAAGAATATATTGATATCAGTTGTTTTCGATGAAAATTATGATAATTTGTTACAAAACATGGAAATTTAAATGAAACTTTAGATAATGTAAATCATTGGTTTAAACAAAATATAAATATTTTTCCAATATTTACCCATATGTCAAAAATATCGAGAAAATCTGTTGATTTTAGCTTAAATTTAAGAATTTCTTCGATATGGGGTAAAATTTATATAATTGTCTCTACTTTTTTCTATTATTTCTACAAAAATATTAACTGTATCGAAAAAATCTCAAACACTGATTATGATATAAATGGACAACAAAGTAAAACATTGTGCATATCTTCCACACTATTTTCTCATCATTTTAGAGTCATAAACTTGTACACGCTATATGGTCACACACAAATTTGGCTACGCTTTCGTTTTTGTTTTTGTTTTTTTTTTTTTTTGGTTTTGATCAAAGGTGTTAATTTTATTACCAACAAACGACTAAATACAAAGGGTCAAAATAAGTGACACACAACAAAAACAAAAGAACCCAAAGTTACACAACACAGAGCCCAAAACACTAGTTGGAGCCCAAAAACTAAAATACCTTAGCCTTCTGCAGACGCCGCCACCGCTTACACAGAGCATCCTCGTCAGCACAAACCAACGCGCAGACCGCGATCAAGCATCCACCTCCCAGAAACGAAGAAGATGGTGACTACGCCTTTGTTACCAAAACTAGAGAAAGACACAAAAACATAAAAAAGTTTGCCAACCAGCTGCAAGCCTGCAACATTTGGATTCAACTCAAACCGGCCATACATGCATAAATTCAACTTCAGTCACTAAACCTCCTTCTTCCTCCACTCCTCAACGAGTCTCTTCAGCGTCTCCTCCCTTGCACCACCTGCTCCGGCAGCTTTCTTAGCTGCTTCTCCGATCCTCGCAGCTTTCACTCTCAGATCTTCACTCTCCATCAATTCCTTAATCTTCACAGCAATCTCATCTCTCTTCACTGTCAACCATCTTCTCCTTCACCACCCACAAGAACCTGAACCCGCTTTTCTCCAAGCCATCTCCCACCTCTCTGATCTGCTCACTTGACAGAGTTGTCTTGCTTCCGAAGGCCACATACACCACCGACCCATCAGGCTGTTCATCAAGCCACTCCAACGGCTGCGGTTGCACTGGATCACCGCCGCATCGATCACCATCCCCATGTGTAGGCAGCTTCTCAAATTCGCAGGATACGAAAGGCTCGACAGAGAAAACTGGAGGTGACCCGCCGCTGATCGCCTCCAGCCCCTCTGCTTCCAGCGCTTCAAACGTGAAAATCAGAACCCCATTTAGCTTCTGGAGATTCGGACCGACCTCTATGAATGTATTGGAAAAGAGGCTGTTGGAAACGCAGAGCAACGGAGGAATCGTTGATTTGCGTAATGGCGGATTAATGCGGGGATTGGAAGAACATCGTCATCGTTGAGTTGGGCTATGGAGGAAGCAAATTTGTGAAAAGATGACAAGAGAGAGTACATTCTGGCGTTGGAGGCGATGATGGTCTAGGCAGGAAGATGGTAAGGGAGGGTTTGGATGACGGGGAGGACGGGGGAGAGTAAACTGATGTCGTAGATGACGGCGGAGGGAGGAGGAGAGAGAGTGGAAAGCAAAGGAGTTAGGAGGTGAGCGGAGCGGCGGATGACTTCAAACTGGATCCAAAACGGGTCAGTGGAATTCACGGTGGAAGGGTCTATGGGAAGTGGATGGAACTGGAGGTGAGTAACTCGGTCGTGGTAAGCTGAGAGGAAGCGGGATATGAGAGCTGACTCGGCGAGGGAGACGGTGGGGTGGGCGGTGATGAGGGTGAGCCTCAGTGGGCAGTGGTTTTGGGCAAGCAATAAAGCGGCAAGTCGTAGCATGGGTGTCAAGTGCCCCATCTGGGAGCTGGGTAAAAGAACGACATGAGTTTCGGGGGTTTGGAGAAGGCTGCCGGAGTCTGCTGGCATCTTGGTAGGGAGGCGGTGGCAATGGTAGTCGCTAAAACAGAGAGCTTTGAGTGTGGAGAGGCCACATGTGAAGCTTGCATTAAATCGTGACTGAAGTGAGAAAAACCGTCGAGGTCAATTTATAGGGTCAAAATTGTGAAACTAGCATTAAATTATACAGAGAGACTAAATTTTTGCAAAACCAAATTATTTGTCATCAATAGAATATAAGACCGAATTTTTAAATTAAATTTTATAAATCAAATGATGTGATTGTTAATGATGATAGGAGGAGAAATAATCCTAATCAATTTTTCTTTGTTAAAAAAAAAAAGAGAGGTAATTGATTGATTTAAATATTTAAGAAAGTTAATTTACCAAAAATAAATCATCAAGTCAAGTTTTCAACTGAGATACAAATTTTAGTAGGCCAACATGTGGCAGTAGTACTGAAATAGTGAAACCGAAATTGTCGATGGCCTGCAAGAAATCCTTTGGTTAAACAGCACGCAAAACTCCTATTTCCTCTTTGTTTCTGAGTGGCTATTTAAACATCACTCGTGCAGTTTGTTTCCACAAAAAAGAAAGCAAATCGAGAAAATCATCCTTCAATCATGGCCTTAGCAGCGTCGATCAAAAGTGGTCTAAATTCTTTAGAAGCTCGACCAAGCACCGTGTATCCTTCCTTGTCTTCCACGTCCACGTCCGCTCCGTGCCTTATTAGAAGGAGACAAACCTGCCATCGACACAAATGATTGGAGATCTCAGAAAAACGATGAATTATGCCTACTGTTTGACAGAAGTAGAAGCTAATACAAACTTCTTCCCATGTCAACTTGGTATTAAATTGATGACTGAGAAGTGCACCATTAACACGTACCAATGACAAAACTAATGAAAATAGCTTGAAAACGTTGAATCTTAATCAAAACGTCTAATACTTTATTGAACAAAAAGATAATAAAATATTAATCAAAACACAAATTATATATAACCTAAACCTATACAACAATATGGTTCAAACCAAGAGGGAAACAATTCATGCAGGTCATAATAACTATTGCAACCTCTGCAGAATTTCTCATCATTTTCTCTACAGCATCAACACACTGACCATTGTTCTATCCTTCGCATTATCTTAACCCGAAAGCAGAAATCACTGAGCACAACAGTTAATTTATTTCCCGTTTACAACGGGCCTATTTGTCCAGCAATAACAAAAACAGAGATGTAAAAGAATGCCACGAAATTGGAAGAAGAAATTAAACACCACAGGCAACATGCATTATATATTGCACGCCATCAAGCTAGAGTGAACACGTTAAGCACTCATTCAACGGCCTCTAAAAAGCCAGGATCAAGGTCAGTGTTTAAAATCAATTGGAGAAACACCAAAGATCTTCAAGCCCTTCTTCACTATAGTTGCCATTAGGCAGAAGCATTATATGATATGGAGCCGTCAAGCCTTTCAGATAGTAATTTAAGGCGCATATTACAGTCAAGTCCATATTAGTCAAACAAAGACAGAATGAAACACAGTAAATTGCAACCAAGCATGCATTTCCTAAGACTAATCTCTTTCTCAACCTTTATTTCATTGCTATAATCCGAATCAGAAATGCTCAATCCCAACTGGTGTATTAAAACAAGAGTGTATAGAGTAGACTCAAAAGGGGCAATAAAAGTGGCATTCATGATGTAATTCTTGACCAACCAAACAAATATCTCCAATGTGTTCGGCAAAAATAAGAATCTCTTTCTCAGAGTCACCCAAACATACCTCTTTGTTATCGCAAATCACCGCACCCATGAGAGGAGTCTGACCAGCTCTATCAATAGCATCAACCTCTGCCCCTTCCTCAATTAAAAGCTCACACAGTTGTGATTTTGCAGTGCTAGCTGCCCGGTGCAATGGGGTGCAACCAACCTGAGCACAATGCGTACCATATGATCACAATTTAGCAAATACAAATAAACTAAACACTCCATCAGCGCACGGTGTTCATTAAACTGGATACATACTTAAATTAAAGGTTCCCCTTCCCCAGATAAAACACTATTATGCTAAGTTACAAACCTTGTCCTTCAGATTAACCTTTGCCCCATGGGAGATCAAACTCTGAGCAACCTCAAACCATCCCTTACTGGCAGCATAATGAAGGGCAGATCGACCACCATTGTTTTTTAAATTAACATCAGCTCCTGTTAAGAACCATAAAATCAGAAGATTGAAATAGCACAATCAGCCATGTTCAAGTAACCATCATTGTTTTTCAAACGATATTCTACTTTAAACCCAATTAAACAGCGAGGAGGGGGATTTGAAACTTGGGTGCATAGAGAAGCACATCCGCTCTAGCCAACATGACTACGCCCACCACATGTACTACATTGCCTAGTTAACGGTGATACAAACAACATGAAGCAGATAGCAATGAAATCTGACAAATTTACCTTTGCTTAGCAATGGCTCAACTATTTCCGAATTCCCAATGCTGGCCGCAGAATGAAGCGGCGCCCATCCGTCATCATCCGTGCTGTTTATCACACTTGTTGATTCATCAGCATCAATCAGCAGCTTCACCACCTGAGTCCCCAAAACGCCACAAATTCTTCAGCTTTGTAGCGAAGAGCATTCACAATTACAAGCTAAATGAGAACGAATTCAAAGTACTGATTTTCAATTGAAACAGAAACCAAATAGAAAGCAGAGGGCACCCTCAAATTTCTCAATTCCCCCAGTTTCTCGGGAAACAAACAGGACATTGAGGAACTTGGAAGAAAACGGACCTCGGAGCGACCTGAAGAGACCGCGACGTGGAGGAGGGAGCGGGCGTCCTCGTTCCTGAGAGAGAAAGCTTCGGCGAGCTGTTTCATTGAGAGAGATTTGAACGCCGAAGAATCACCGGTTTCGGCGGCTCTGAAGAGATCTTCGGCTTTGAGTTTCTGCTCGGACGGCGTTGGATGATCGATCTCCATGTCCACGGCGAACTGTACGGAGCAAGATGGTAGTTAGGGCTTTGGGGATTTTACAGTCCTTCCCGGTTTATTTTCGTGCTGGACAAGTTGTGACTTGACGGTGATAGTGTGACGGTCGTTCCAGTCTGCGGTGGCATGGACATAGTGATGTACCAATTTGTCATATAAGTTAAACCGAACCAAAAACCAAATCAAACCGAATAGTAATTTCCGTATATTTTTTATTTCGACAAAGAATCGAACCGATTCAGTTCTAATTTAAATAAGATAAATAAAAACAAAAACAACGTATTAACAAAAAAATGCTATTATCGAGACTCCAAAATCTTATCGTGCACTTATAAATCAATTTTTATTCTAAATAAAAAAGTTTAAAATGCACAATGAGATTTTTAAAGTTTCAACATTATACAGATCACATTAGATTTATTTATGAAAAAAAAATATTAGATCAATTCCATACGATATTGGACAAAAGTTTTGAGTTTGAATGTCTCACTTTTGTATCAAAATAGAAAAAACAACCAAAACTAAATGGATCACGAACTTAAGCTATATCTTTGAAATGGATATCTTGAACTCAGATACGAAGTGCATGTAAGTAGGGTGCCCCAAAGGGGTGACCTGAGAACACAAAATGCGTAAGCGGTGCTTACAATGTTTGTAGCGGGCAACACCATTTGTGTTCTCAGTATCACACCTTTGGGGTGACCATCTACTATATGAACGGGGATCAATTTGCAATGTTGAAGAAGAAGATCTAGCTATTTTTGTTATTTGCCAGGTTGCTGTTTAATTTATAAGGGTGAAGTGTGCAGAAATCAAGACCTTATGCGCCACACAATGTTGTCATTTTTTCGACATCAAGGGACGTTGTCGTATATGGATAGAAACACCATGCTTCTTTGCCCTAATAATTGAATGCAAACTAAGAATGACAACATTCAAATTAATCGCGGCCGTCGAACCTTAATCAAAAGTTGACAGATTTGTTAATTGATACAAGAAAATTGAAATGCTCTTTAATTTATTGTTTTTGGTCAAATTTGTCCAAAATGAAAATATCGCTTCGATAAAAAGGCAACTCAAACTAACAAGCTTTATCGTTTTAGGAAGGTCGGTGGAGGAACGTATATCGTGTTTCGTCTTTGTTTTGCAATTTCACATCTCGAATTAGTGATTTTTTAATCATAAAATAATATGATTGTGCCAAAGCTTATCCTAAAAAATAAAAAAAAGTAATGAAAAATGATTAAAAATTTTGAGTTTTAATGATAAAGATAAAATAAAAGGTAAAGTAAATAGTACCATGATTGATTTTTTAATGTAAAAATATAATTTTTCGTTAAAATAAACAGTACTAAACGTTTTTTGTTAAAATTTATTAAAAAATATCGTTCTCTTATCTTAAAAAAAAAAAAATCATTGTTCTTCGGTGCCAACTCGAAGGCCCAGAAGACTATAAATGCCAGGCAGGAAGTAGGCTGGACATGGCAGGCATTAAGCAAAAGAAGCCCAAGACATGTCAAACTCTGAGCTCATTGCATAAGTGGATCCTTCCCGTTCCTTTCAAGCAGAAGCTTGGCACTTGGCAGCAAGCCGGACCACGGTGTCCCACCACGTCATCCTACCACGTGTCAACGTGAGATAGGGTTTAGGAGGGGACCAAAATGTTGGAAAGAGATTCCCTTCAGATTTTTTTCTATCAAAATCCGCAGATCAAGTGATACAGATTTTTGAAATTTAATTTAACTGTTAAAAACAAAAATTATTTTTAAAAATTATAATAATTTTAACCGTTGAATCAAATTTTAAAAATTCGAATAATTTGATCCGGGAGTTTTAGTGGTAGTGATCCGCCCCAAAATTTTAATACCAAACAGGATTAGGTGAAAGACGAATATGCCATAAAGATACCGAAATCTGAACGCGGTGAGTAGCAAGAGGAGCCACCACCACAAGTACCCTGTGGCCGACGACAAATTTTTGCTTTGTCACAAGAACACGGACTGTATAACGTGTTTTTAATGATTTATTTTATTTTTTAAGTTATTAATTTTTTGACACATTTATTTTATCATTAACATAATAACATATAATATATTATCCGTATTTTCATTATAATGAAAATTTTCTCTTGCCGACAGATGTCCTTTTGCATTTCTGCTTTTAAAATGAAACGTGGACTCTATCATCACCAAGTGAAAGCACTACCGACAATCATAAATATATCCAATTATCCATCCATCTACCCATAAGGCAAGAGCAAGACAGTTTAAATATCATCAGCTTCTACCCGTTTTAGCAAACACTCCTCACAAGCAAAAGCACTTCTACCTTTCTTCACTCATTAATGGATCGGCTTTCAGCAGCTTTCTCTTCCGGAGGTTACGGGGACAAAGACCAGGAAGATCAGTATGGTGGCGAGAGAAAATCCGCGACGGAGGGTCGCCACGGGTCTGGAGGTTACGGGGACAAAGACCAGGAAGATCAGTACGGTGGCGAGAGAAAATCCGCGACGGAGGGTCGCCACGGGTCTGGAGGTTACGGGGACAAAGACCAGGAAGATCAGTACGGTGGCGAGAGAAAATCCGCGACGGAGGGTCGCCACGGGTCTGGAGGTTACGGGGACAAAGACCAGGAAGATCAGTATGGCGGCGAGAGAAAGTCCGCCACGGAGGGTCTCCACGGGAAGCCGGGACGTGCGGCACCGACGACGAGTGAGCTGATGTCGAGTGCAAAGATTGTGGCGGAAGCAGCCAAATCTTCAATGAACAAAGGGGGCGACGAAAATATCGACAGAGCTAGGGTTTCCGAGGCTGCTAGTAACATCTTAAGCGGTGCCGCACACTATGGCAAGCTGGACGAGAAAGAAGGACTTGGGAGTTATGTTGGTAAGGCCGAGGATATGCTCCGCAAGTACGGCAGCGGCGGTGACGGTGGAAGCGGCGGAGGAGGAAGTCACAACTCTTCTGAGTCTTATAAGTCTAGCGTGGGGAAGGAGAGAAGAGACGATGATGAGAACTATCCGGTGAGCGGAGAGCATGAGACTAGGAAAAAGGAGGATGAGGAGGAGGAGGGTGGATCAGGTGGGGTTGGGGGTTACCTTAAGGTGGCTCAGGGTTTCTTGAAGAAGTGATGATCGTCATAATTAATCACTAATTAAGTAACGTTAATTATGCTTATTCCTCTGGAACTTTCACTTAATTTGGCTTAAGTTGTTTACTTAATTATGATGTTAGATAAAGTTTGTTTTTCTGCATTTGGTTTGGGGTGTGCTGTTTCGGACCCAGTCCTTATATGTATCAGTCCTTATATGTATCAGTGTATGTATTTCTTTCCCAAAATTGTAGTAACTGTGTTTGTGTGTGGTAGATGTATCTAAATCTTATGATCGGACAGAGCACATCGGTTACACGTTAAAATCCCTACACGACACTAATCGTCTAATGAAACAATGCAAGTTATGTTACATGCTAGAATCTCTCCACGGCATCGCATGCTTAATCAAATAATGCAAGTTATGCAACCATTGTAATACACTGTAGCATTAGAAATTCTCTTTCAATTACTATCCGGCTCCGTGCAAGTATAACTTCTAATGCATAACATAAGTATAAATCTCAATGCGAGAGATCATACATGCTGATTTTATGCTCTACCGAAGTTTCTCTCGAGAAATGAGTGGCCGACGGAGAAAACCCGTGTCCAACCAATATTTGGCTTTCTACAATCTATGGATAATTGAAGAGTAAGAAAAAATTGAACCATCAATTAACAATTTAACACCACCCAAAATAGAAGTTGCTTGTGAATAACCCGTTGAAAACGGGTACTTCACAAAGTCGAGAGAGACATGCGTATATATTCACCGACAAGCTACTCAATTTCTCATCACTCTTACAGAAAAATTAACAAGGCACTGCTACATTTTCTTTGAATTAATCAATGGATCGGCGTCATGGTTCTGAAGATTACGAGGAGGAAGAAGGAGCTCATAGTCAGCCCCGACAGAGAAATATGACTAAATCTAAACCTACTGGAGGAGGGCACGTAGAAGAAGATGACCAAAGCCAAAATCGCCAAATAAAACCAGCTTACGGCGGTTCTCGCAAAGAGTATGGCGACGAAGAAGATCGAGACCGATATGGTGAGAGAAAATCCAGCAAACCGAAATCATCAGCAGCTTACAGTTCGAGGGAAGATGAAGATGAATATGACGAGAGAAAACCCAACAAGCCGAAAGCTGCTGCGAAAGCAGCTTACGGTTCGAGGGAAGATGAAGATGAATACGGCGAGAGAAAACCCAACAAGCCGAAAGCCGCAGCGGCTTACAGTTCGAGGGAAGATGAAGATGAATACGGCGAGACGAAACCCAACAAGCCGAAAGCCGCTGCGAAAACGGCTTACGGTTCAACGGAAGATGAAGATGAATATGGCGAGCTAAAATCCAACAAGCCAAAAACCGTTGCGAAAGCAGCGGCGACTTACGGTTCGACGGAAGATGAAGATGAATACGGCGAGAGAAAACCCAACAAGCCGAAAGCCGCTGCGAAAGTGGCTTACGGTTCGACGGAAGATGAAGTTGAATATGGCGAGAAAAAACCCAATAAGCCGAAAGCCGCTGCGAAAGCGGCTTACTGTTCGAGGGAAGATGAAGATGAATACAGCGAGACAAAACCCAATAAGCCAAAGGCCGCTGCAAAAACGGCTTACGGTTCAACGGAAGATGAAGATGAATACGGCAAGCAAAAATCCAACAAGCCGAAAACCGTTGCGAAAGCGGTGGCGACTTACGGTTCGAGGGAAGATGAAGATGAATACGGTGAGAGAGAACCCAACAAGCCGAAAGTCGCTGCGAAAGCGGCTTACGGTTCGACGGAAGATGAAGTTGAATATGGCGAGAGAAAACCCAACAAGCCGAAAGCCGCTACGAAAGCGGCTTACGGTTCAAGTGATGAGTATGGGGGCGAAGATGATCAGGATGAATATGGCCAAAGAAAACCTGGCAAACCAAAGGCCGCTGCGAAACAAGCTTATGGTTCTGAGGGTTATGGAGATGAAGATGATCAGGAACATCGCGAAAAGAAACCTAGGTCGGGTTCTGCCGGGAAAGCAGCCAAAGGCTCGAAACCTGAAAAAGATGGGAATGTGGAGGATGATCAATACCTCGAGAAAAAAGCTGTTGCTGCTAAACCATCAAAGTCAACTTATGGGGATGATAAGGATGAGCAGAATGAACATCGTGAGCGAAAAGTGGGCACTGACGGGAAACATGTTGGTGGTGTGGGGGCGGAGAAAGCGAAAGCAGGAGGAGCGAAGGAGAAAGGTGAAAAGCCATCAATGGGGGAGGTGATGTCGAGTGCGAAGATTGTGGCGGGCGCCAATAAAGGGGACAAGTTCGACAAAGCTGAGGTTTGCAAAGCTGCCAGTACCATTCTAGGTGCTGCCTCTGCGTACGGCGGTTTCGACGACAAAGAAGGCATCGGGAGTTACCTCAGCAAAGCAGAGGATATGCTTCGTAAGTATGGTGGCGGCCAAGAAGGTGAGGGAGGTGGCCCCAAAACTTCTGTTTCTCATTCTTCAGCTTCTGAGGAGAAGAAGAAGAAAAGTAATGATTCAAATGAGAGCGGTGGGGGCACGAAGAAGCCCACTAAAAAGGATGACGGTGAAGAGGATGGTGGTGGTGGAGTTGGGGGCTATCTGAAGATGGCTCAGGGTTTCTGGAAGGGCTAATCTGATGATTATCATTAATCACTAATTATGTGAAGTTAATTAAGCTCACTTCGAGAAACTTACATACACCAAGATACCACTAAAGTGACAATGCATGTCAATCATGCAGTGCATACTTATCACAAAGTATAGTATGATTCGTTTGATATATTGCCACGAGCAATATTCTTGTTGCATGAAAGTTTTTTCGTTTTCTTGGGTTGATGATCATAGTTTGTTTCTGATTTTCTGTATTCTATTTTGGGCTACTTTGGGCCCTCTTTTTGTTTTCCGGCTTGTTTTGGGTTAGAATGGACTTATGGTCCTGGGCCTACCTTCCTGCGTGTGGAGCCCTCTGTATTTCAATATGTATTTTTGTATTTCTTGCTAAATAAGTAAAGTGGTGTTTGCATAAATTAATTTTTGTAATTTGAAATACTTATCTTTGTTGTGTAAATATATTAAATATGTCATAGCTCTCATTTCTAAATTTGTTAAATAATCCAATTATTATCTTATTAATATTTTTTTTCTATAATATTAGAAGAGGCTAGAGTTAATCCTTCCTCATAACAAATAAAAATCTTTTGCTATATTAACAAACATGTTTATTTACTTGGAATTGTTACTATTTCTTACAATTTTTGAGTTAGGTAATACGTGCGTAATATAATATAATAAATTTTACATTGTGATTCGTAATTAGATACTTAAAAGAAATTAAATTGATTAACGAGAACCAACTAATACATATATTTGTTTACTCGACAATACATAACTTCTTCGATTCAATAACTTCCCAAGTTCCAAGTCAGTAAAATCAATGTCCAATGCCTAATTGGTGTCTCTAAACATAATCTAATCAGATTTAGGTGATAGTTAGACACATCAAACCAACCCATCTATACTTATATCAGGTCTGCCCAACAAAACATTGATTTTTCTTGGGTACACAAACCAAATAGCATTTAATATTTTATTTTTTTGGTTTAAAAATAAAAATATTTAATCTTTTTTTCACTAAAAATATTTGATTTGTTATTCTCCTATTGGCTAACGGCCACTCTGTTTACGCTTTTGTTTTCCAACAAGAGAGGTAACCAGAATCCTTGTGACACGGGCTTCAACACCTGGCACCTACCCCCATTTTTAACACTGTTACATTCTCCACGGCATCTTTTCCTTTTATTAACACGCGAGGCAGCTACGGCGATCGGAGATACAGAGGAACCGAGCTGCTCGCTCGTTCATCAGCTGCCGCTTTCTTTCCAAATCCCCTCGGAATTTCAGTCATTCTCGTTAAAAGGTGAGATTTCGACCTCCAAATCGTCCTTTTATGTCTTAATTTTAATTTTATTTTATCATCGATTCGAATCTACGTAAAAATTTGCCGCGTTGAGGTGTTGAATTGCGATGATTGTTTGGTCTGTTGATTGTGAAAGCTTGTTAATTTCGCTTGTCAATGGTGTCACCGTTCAAATTCCTTGCGACCCAAATCATATTTTGCTCGACTGTTTGTTGGGTAGTTCTATCCTAGCGCTTTGGTTTCTCCATCAGAAATCAACTGTGACGTCTTAATTGGGTTTTTTGGGTAATTTGTGGTAAACTTATGCTGTATTTTGCAGAAATTAAGAATTATAATGTTAAGCTTAGAGAATGGTAGAGGATTTCATGTTCCCCAGTATATGGAAAGTGATTAAACAAATTATGAGGTGTCCGGTTGTGATTAAACAAATTATGAGGTGTCCGGTTGAACTGGTGTATTAAGGACTCTACTGTGAAAGGCTATTTTGAAAGAATTGCGGTGTCTCGATTCAGACGTATTTTTCGTCATTAAGACATTTTGGTGTTGGATTGGTCTATTGTTTTGGGGATTCCAATGCATGCTTGCTGTAATTCATACTATGTTTGTTGAATAAATTACTTATTCACATTGCAAAAGGATAATCAAATTTGTGGAAATACAAACTACATTTCTTTTATGTTGTCGTTTATCCTAGAATTTCTCTATAAACTAGCTTCTTGTTGACAGGGCTTAAAGGATTTTGGAACATTCATGTTTCTTGGCCGAATGCTGTTGCATGTTCTTTAGGGTTTTAGCATTTAACCCCTTTGTTTGTATTGGCCTGATTTGTTTGTTAGGATGTGGGGTTTTGCTTCAAATGCCATCACAAGCATTGGACTAAAAAGAAGCTCATCAGAGCCAAGTCGGGTTTGCTTGGACTCCTCGGATGATGAAGTCTGCTCGAATTCAAGCCGAGAGGAAGGGTTAGAATGCCCTATATGCCTGGAATCTTTCAACATTGTCGAGAATGTGCCCCATGTCTTATGGTGCGGCCATACCCTGTGCAGAAACTGTGTCTTGGGGCTTCAATGGGCCGTTGTAAAGTTTTCCTCTCAAAAGTTTAAGATACCATTCTTCATTTCTTGCCCTTGGTGCTACCTGTTGTCTTTGCGGCTGATTTATAAGGGCAATCTAAAGTTTCCTCGCAAGAATTTCTTCCTTCTGTGGATGGTTGAGAGCTTTAATGGTGATAGGGTAAAATTTGTTCCTGCAATCAGTGGGGAAAACCAACAAATTGGTTCTCCAAGAGCAAGTTTTGCTATTGGAAATCAAGCTGGCAATGGTAACCTGAGGAGGAACCATTCTAGTTGTCCTTCACTATCAAGGTATAACCGTGATGATAGAGGTGGCCGTGTGGAGCGGCATCTATTCTCCCTGCACAAGTCTTTGGATTGCTTCATTCACATTACATCCAAGTTCCCATTAGTCATATTGTTTCTCGTGATTGCATTTTTTGCAATACCCGGCAGTGCTATAGTTTTGGCAATCTACTTGTTACTCACAGTGGTTTTTGCAATCCCATCGTTCTTGTTATTGTACTTTGCATACCCTATTTTGGAGAGGCTGGTAAAGGAGATAACCTCGTGACCCATCAACTTGAGTCTTTGCTATCCTCATCCTTCTCAGGTCTCATGCGTATGACGGTGGAAGTTTCAAGAGTTTAGTGGGAAGTTTCTTGGGTAATTTGTAAGTTCCGACTTCTGTGTCTAAACGATTGTCACTAATGTAACTATCATTATTTGTTTGAAGTAGCTGATTTCCTTCTACCCAAGCTTGAGTACTCTCAAGATTAATGCTCTCAAGTGATTTTAGATGAGGTATTGAAATATATCGTAGTGGATTACATACATGCTTATTTGAAATCCGGAGAAAATGAATATACGACTTTGAATTGTAATTTACCATATGAAATGAGCGTCTATTAGTTAGTTTGTAATTGGGAAATTCATTTGTGTTTTATTTATACGCTTTATAAATATGGGGCAGCTAACCGTGCGGTGGAACTCCCATCTTATTGTGATTGACTCTCTGTGAAAATACAGTATCTTGATAGAAATATTTACACTCGAAAGTAGGTGAGTAATTGGTCCAATTAGAAGCAGAAGCATGTTTTAGGAGCTTTCCCTGTTCTTCTCATTTCTTTTGCCTTTTGATTCACCTTCAAGACACCATTTCTGTACCTCTCCTCTGCCTGTGCCCTAGCTCCTTCTGCTATCTCTTTGATATATTCCATCTCTGCGGCGAACTTTCGTAGTGCTTTTTCTCTTTTTTCCGCTACTTCACTTTGCTGTCGTTCCATTAAGTGGATTATTAGTTCATGATCAGAATATTGATTGTATATGAAAGTAAAATGAAGCAAAACCTGTTTTTTATCGAGATGGTTTCTGCATTTCTTCTTCTTCTTGTTCTCCCATTCGAGTATTGTGGCTTTTTGCGTCTCATACCTGACATTAATGGCTGTCAGAACCTAAATGTGACATAATGTTTGAATTATAAATTATGCAAAATGATCGCCGATGATGAGTAGCTACCTTGCTTTAAGCCTAGCAATCTTGGTTTCCTCCCAAATATCTGCTTGTGTTTTCCTTATTCCAGGTCCTGTTGAAGTCGGCTTCTTGGTTTCATCCCAACGGCTTTCGGGTTTCGTAGTGGCAGACAAATTGGGTTTTGGTGCTGCAGTTTCAGGTTTTACACCGCCAGCGCTGCTCGACCGTTTATCATCAAAAGTTGGAGTTCTCTTGATAGATGGTGGTCGAAGGGGGGGTGGTGGTGGTGGTGCAGTTTGAGGTTTTATACGGTCAGGAAGGACAGCCTTTTCTGGCTTCTCCCGGGTTGTGGCAATGGTTATTGGCACCTTACCTTCTGGATCTTCTCGTGCTGGAGTACTTTTCCTCGAACCTGCACCTAATACAGAACATCTTGGTTCTAGCTTGAAAACCGGAAACTCGGTGTTTATGGTCGTTAACGATGTTAAGAGTGTAAGATACTTTTACCTGAGAATATTTTGGAAAATCTTCCAGGTTCCGGCTCTGAAATTGCCGTTTCTTCCTTTCCGCTCGTGATCCTCACCAAAGTTGGTTTACGCTCATTGCCCGTCATTTCCTCGTCAGAGAGGGCCGAATCTTCGGTTGATTTAATGGCAAATGCAGCAGCTGCCACTGCAGTTGCATGCTCCATTGCTCTGCTAGCATCGTAGTCTTGACTCATTTTTCCTGAGAGCTGTCTCTGGAACCAGTTCTGGGTTTCCTTTTCTCTGCAAGATATAGCTTAAACCACTACGAAAATTTGTTTCCACACCAAAAAATTTGTATATTATGCAGAGACAAAGGGCCATGTATTACCTTTGAAAAACTGAGTTTTCTGCAGCGGTATTCTTCGGTCGTAGACGCTGCCTGACTCGTCAGTCTTCTCGTCCTGCGCCGGTGAATCTCACCCTAACAATAGTGATTAGTCAAATATAAACGGATATGATCCTCTAGTTACAAATAGTAATCATAGTTACATAATCGAAACAAAGTCGAATATTTTCGGGGTTAAGGAGCGAATTACCTTATTTGGTTGATCAATCCATTCTTTCCGAAGAAACGAGCCCCGAATTTTCTTCTCTGTGAATTAAGGATTGTTGCTCATAGTTTGGTGTTTATTTGAAGGATAAGATTAGAGAAGAGGAGCTTGTTTAAAGCTCGTTAATAGGCTAGTTTTAGGGCAATGCTGGCAAGAAAGCTTGAGGTTACTTTGCACACAAGTTAGGGTTTCCTGGTGAAAGGAAAGTATTTCTTCTTTGCAATGATTCTTAGCTTTCAAAATTCTTAAGAAAAACTCCATGAAAAGTTTATGCTATTCTTCTGTTTCGAAAATAGTACTTAAAAATTACATAAAAAAACACTGCAAATTAATACTACCAATACTAGAAACCTTTAATCTAAGAACAAGGAAAGGTGGAACCCAAAAAAATGTAAGAAAGATTTTCAATTAAGCGCAGGCCGGGGCATGGAAATTTTTTATAGATACAAAGACGATTGAATCCGCCGCAACGCTGATCGTTGAAGTGGGATCAACGAGCTTTGGTTTCATTTCCGGAATGTCTGATGCGTTTGTGAGTTTCAAAGGAGTTCCATTGAGCAACACCACATCACTTTGAATGTTGCCACCTTCTGGTGTCAAATGATACTCTTCTCTTTCTGGTTCACCATTAGCACCGTACTTTCTCGTCGTAAGTATTTGCCTCCGGTACAAATTATAGTCGGGGAGAACAGCGACGTCGAAGGTCGTGGTGTTGGACATGTTGATCAGAACTAGTGTGACCCCTTTCTGTAACAAAGTATGTTTAGATCCTATAAATGTTGATAAAGGAAAGGCTAATTAGGGTTTGAGGTCCGAAATTTTGAGGTATACCTGATTCTTTGTGCAATGGCAATATGCTCTCAGATAAGGAGAGCCAAAGTTCATGGTGGAAAGAACCCTAGTTCCCATTAGTCTATGCCACAAGAGTGCACTGGTAGGGGAAAAAACAGCAGAAAAGATTTAGAAAAGTTCAACGAACTTCGGTACTGTTTGATAACCATTTCAAATTTAAAGCGGAGATTCGAACCCGTAATAATCGGGATTAGGGATGAATGTGGTGGTGTTAAGTAGAGCATAGTTCCCTCCAATCAAGGCTTGTCTGCAGTAAACCTTGTGGTTGTAGGTCGATGTCATGCCAAGCTGGTCCAAATACCTATTTCAATCAACACATTTGTTTATATTTGCTCATAGATTTTCGGGTATCGATTTTCACACTCTCGTTTTGTCTGTCACTCCATAATGTACACGGAGAGAACAAAGAAGTGAGAAATTCAGTTCCCAAATTGTAATGGCGAAAAATGTGTTTACCAAAAGCCATCAGCAAAAGTATGTGAGACATCTTTGCCACCACTGTTATAAGCTCCACCTGCTTCCCCAACCCAAGCTTCCGACCGTGGCCCAAACTGCTGGATTGTATTCGACAAGTCGTAAAATGTTTGAGCTATCTCTGACAGAAAAAATGGATCTTGAACCTTGTCGATAAGCTCAGGATCAACACCTGAAAAAAATCATAAGATTTTCCCCAAATCACAGACATTTTTCTGCCGATGATCAATACTTAGTGATGATTTTTAATATTTGTATTACCTGCACCAAGATTGTATAAGTGATGAGTTACACCATCAACAACGCCTGGCCCCGTGGCCTGCAGGAAGTTTTCGAACCATTCTTGTCGTAAAATCCAGCAGGGCCTAAAACCTTAGGTCGATTTGAGGCATCGGGGTACAATTCTGTCACAACTTCTTTCAGCTTTTTCATGTCTTTTGCATATTGCTCACTTTCTATTCTTGCAGATACTCCACTCCCGGATAGCTCATTCCCTATTGGCATTTGCAGTCAAATGAGCAACAGTTATATATATAGAACTCACAATCCTTCTACAGAGCGATTAACTACTAAAAAAAGTCCGCATTTAAAAAAAAGGAAGTAATGTCATTTACCAAGCTCATATGAATCAATCTGGTATCCCTTAGCAATTGTGTACTCCATCAGATCACGAGAATTTTGAGCGTTCCAATCGCCGATTCGAAGGCTTTTGTCTTCAGAAGACACTTTCTTCCCATGCAAAGCATTCAAACCAAATGTGACTTTAGCTCTGCAAAAAATGAACGTGTGAGTGACTAGTAAATCAAGGTGCCATCTTATTTCCTGCATTGATTTATATGGAGAAATTATCATACTTCGTTTTGTTAAAGAACTGATTGAGCTCATCCCATCTTTTATGGTGAAGGCAAGCTTCGCTGAATCCGAACAAACCCGAATCATTTTTCTTGAAACGGTTGCATGATTTATCTCCAAATCCTACACCATAACTGACCTGATCTTGCAATGAGCCTCCAACTCTGATTCTCATTGGATTGAAAGCTGAAAATTTTCCAACAAATTCAGTCCTTCATCAACACAACGTTTTCTAATTTTAAAACGAAAGTAGTACTAGTGAAGCCAATCACGGATTAGGCAAGCAGAACTAAACGTCAGAGTTTCGATAATCGAATTCTCAAAGTTTTACTCAGAAAACACTTACCCTTGACAGCATTGTGCAAGATCTTGTTACTCAAATCCTGCAAATACGAGCAAAGATTAAGATCCTCACCAATTTGTTTATTTAGAAGATGAAAGAGTACGACTAGAAACACATATAACGAGAAAAGACTCATTAACTGTAAGGAGATAAGCAGTGTTCAATGGAGAAAAAGACGATACAAACCAGATTAAAAATGCCAGCCTTCCCCCATGGGCACTGACCGTAGTCACATTTGTCAGCAGGCCACCAGTCCAAAGTTGCACAGATGAAGTTATCATCTGTGGTGGCTATGGAAGTCACTCCTTTGACTCTCACTTCAACGTACTCAGCTAAACCTAATGAAAACCACGATACACAAATAAAAAATATGGCTGCTCCTCTAACCTCCATTTTTTTCTCACACAGTAAATCTGGGATAAAAATCATGTTTATATATAGTCCTTTTTTTTTGAAATACATAATATGGATAAGGATAAATCTAGGTAGGGTAATTTGTTTGTTTGTCAAAATCCATGTGTTTGTTCATGTACGTATCACTGACAGTTTTAAGATTTTGAAAATCTCTTTTATCCTGCTATCTATCTTATCCAATTTGAGATAATTTTGTTGTAGTAATCATTATGTTTAACCGAAATAGTGGGTTTGTGTGTGATATCGCAATTTTGGTTTTATAATTTTTCTCGCATCAATCTAATGAATTGTCACAAATTGATATTATACGTGACTGATAATAATATATAAAAATGTTGTAGAGCAAAAAATAATCTGAATTTTTTTGACGTGACAAGTAACAAAGATGCTCCTATTAAATTGGTAAGCCCCACATTTATTTTACAACCCTCCTGAAGACATGAACTTGTGGCTACAACTCCACCAAGCTTAATAAGGAGAAAGATCAAAGGTATTAAATATATCATTAATAACCAAATCTTATCTTTATGCTTTCCTAATTGAAGACCAACCCAATCAAATAAGGAATCACAATAAAATTCAATAATATCTCCAGGACAATTCTTTCCTACTCTATCCAATGGATGACATATCTTGGCCAACTAAATTTCAACACATGTCATGAAAAACCCTACACATGTGGCCAGCCCTAGTTCTATAAATGCCCCATTTTCCATTAATTTATAGTAAGTTTTGCGCTATCCCGTTAAGCCATAAACTCTCTCTATTTTCAAAGAAACTGACTTAGACATCAAAGATTCATTAGCTAAATCCCCCACTGAAAATTGAACCAATCTTTGCTACCACAAATGTGCCAAAAATAAATAGCCGTTATTAATTCGTTTGGGCTCAGCTTAAGTCCAACACCCAAAACCAAAAAAGTAAAAAAAATAAAAATTAAAAAAAAGAAGTCAAATGCTTTCATTGAGAGTTGAACTCAAGACCTCCCGCTTACTAAACGGGTGCTCTAACCAACTGAGCTATGAAAGCATTCGTGGTGATACCTTTATCAGATTCCTTTTTATCTGGTGAAACGAAAACAATGGCCTTCTGCTCAGCAGCAACAGCTTTGCCGTAAGCAGACTCTTGGCATTCTGCTCAGACCCACGCCATGGGAGCCTCTCCCATGCTTGGAACTTGGAAGCTCTTCCAACACATCCCACAGCCCACAATCTGCTTCTAAAACACAATGTTAAAAGCTTCGCTGCTCAGAAACGAACTCATCCTGACCGTCGATGTATTTACCAAGATGTTGCAGAACGGGATGTGCCCAGATAATTATACCCTCCCTTATTTGCTGAAGGCTTGTGCGAGGATGCAAGGTGTCGTCTTGGGAAATTGGTTCATGGGTTCTGTTTGAAATTGGGTTTTGTTTCTGAATCTTTGTTGGTAACTCTCTGATTGTTATGTACTGTGCGTTTGATAACGTGAAGAGAGTACTGTACGTGTTCGATGAAATGCCTAGCCGAAATTTAGTTTCATGGAAGGTCATGATTTCTGGGTTTGCAAAGGTGGGCAGTCTTGACATGGCGAGATTGTTCTTTGACGAAGCTCCGGTGAGGGACAGGGGGATATGAGGTGCCATGATTTCTGGGTATGTGCAGAATGGTTGTTTCAGGGAAGGTCTTTATTTGTTCCAGTTGATGCAGCTTAGGATACAGAACCCGATGAGGCGATTTTTGTTAGTGTTTTATGTGCTTGTGCTCATTTGGGAGCTCTGGATATTAGGATTTTGATTCACCCGTATTTGAATCAGCTTCGGTTGCGGTTGAGTGTTCGATTGACCGCTGGTCTGATTGGCATGTATGCCAAATGTGGGAGATTGGAGTTAGCTAGAGGACTGTTTGATGAAATGCTGCAAAGAGACACGGTTTGCTGGAATGCGATGATTTCGGGAATGGCAATGCATGGAGATAGCGAAGGTGGTTAGGCCAGATGATGTTACTTTCATTGCTGTGTTTACTGCTTGCAGTTATTCCGGCATGGCAGACGAAGGAATGAAGGTGTTTGATAAAATGCGTAGGATATACATTGAGCCAAAAAGCGAACACTACGGATGTATCATTGACCTTCTGAGCCGTGCCGGGTTCTTCGAAGAAGTAAAGGAGAGAATTCAAAAGTATACCCAGTTCAAGTAAATCATCTGAATAAGCAGTAGCTTGGAGAGCATTTCACCTTGAATGTCACATCGGGGTCTATGTCTTGCTGTCGAATTTGCATGCAGCTTCACGGGAGCATGGTGATGCCAGATGAATGAGGAATTTGATGAGAAACGGAGGAGTAGAGAAGGCTTCAGGCTGCAGCTCGGTCGAGATCAATAGGGCAGTTCTTGAATCCATTGCGGGGGAGAAAACTCAACCGAAAATGGAAGAAATTTGGGGACCATAAACAAGCAGTTGGATTTTTCAGGCAGTGATCGATGTTCGTTTCAAGTTGACAAGACTTGAATCGAAGCTTTAATGTTTGATTGCCGAATTCCTAACCTTCAGCACATAAAAAAGAACTAAACAAAACTTGTAGTATCGAGATTTTTCGTACCAAAAATTAACGGTTGATTTCTATACTATGATTTAAAACATGCATTAGTTTTGCAACTAATGTGAAGCCTTGCTACTATTTACCATACAAGCAGGAGAACTTTAACGAAAAACTCCCGGTAGTGTTTACTTTAACAGAAAACCACATTTTTACACTAAAAAATCAATTCTAATATTATTCACTTTACCTTTTATTTTGTTATTTTCGTTAAAACTCAAAGTTTTCAAACCATTTTTATTAGTTTTTCTTATAAGCAAACTCCTTGCGGAGTTAAGCAACATAGGAACTCATCAGTGACAGCAAAACTTCATCGATATATATTTCCATTCCGAGACTATAAGAACCCTTGTTTGGACGGTAAAAAACACAACCTGTTAACAAGTAAATAATAGCTTGATGTCTTGACTAGACGAGAAATTCTGCGTCTGTGAGCTCAAGAACTTTGTGTATGCCTATCGGTTTTACACCTGGTCGGAATGCATTCCCTTCAATATACCTGTGAGAAAACAATGGACCAAAATATCAAACACATTGCTGCATAGTTTTAGTAATTCGAAGTTTCCAATTTCCGGAGGCAAAGAAACTCACATGTCTTTCAAGAACGGGTGTTTGTAGAAGGCATCAGGAATTCTTCCTGAAAATTGATTGTGATCCAAGTACCTAAAATTGATAAAAATCAGAACAAGGAATGAATGAAACTGCAGACTAATTTTCCTTGATCTAAGGCAGTAATGGGTAGATCCTTCATCAAGGTTGTTTACTTTCCAGAGTACAAGTTGACCATATAAAAAAGGAGGCAAGCCCTTGATCTTTGATGAAACTACCCCCTAAATACCAATTAGTCGAGCACAAACAAACGCAAAGAGTAGAAATGTCGTAAAAAGGAACTCACAAGTACGTCAGTCTCGGAATATGGGAAAGTCCTAATGGAACTATCCCAGACATCTTGTTGTAAGATAGGTACCTGTAACCAACAAACTTCGTGTCAGGTCAAAATGTAATGAAACTAATCCAAATGATGATGTTTAACTCAAGAGATTAGAAACAGCCCATCGGGACAAGAACAAAGAGAGGGGGGAGAGAGACATACAGTATTTCCAGTTTGGACAAGCTTGCGAGCTGTGCTGGAATTCCTCCGGTAAGATAGTTGTTGTTTAGGTAACTAGATACCCCAGTTGCAAAAAGATTCACTTCAGTTACCATGTCATTTATACTTTTGAGGTAGAGATAATTATGTATTCGCCAACTTGGACTAACTTACAGGTTACGCAAAGCGGGAAAGCAGCCCTCAATACGTATGAGTTCCCTAATAGTACCCACCAAATGATTGTTACCAACGTCCCTATGAACAAATAGCATCAGAATGGCACACATTAGTAACAACTAACAAGATACAGATGAATTAACTTTACAAAGTGTTAGGCGTAGTTATGTAAACATACAAATGCCGAAGATTTTGCAGAGTTCCTAGTTCTGGAGGAATCCGCCCAATAAGGCGATTTTCTTGCAGATACAGATAGCGAAGCTCAGGAAGATTAGCAAGCTCCTTCGGGATTTCTCCTTTAAAACTATTAAAGCTTAGATGCCTGCAGAATTATTAAGTAAATCATGGTGAATTAGTCCTTACAAGAAAAATGCAAATTCATTGTGAAAGAACGAATCAGAATTCACTCACAAATGGGTTAAACTCTTCAATCCACCAATTTCAGGAGGAATGACATCTTGTAGCTTATTCCATCTCAAGTTACTGAGAAGCAACAAGAATTAGTAAACGATCAAAAATATAAAAACGAAGACTTCTATTAGAAAACTATGCACATGAGTTGAACACAAGACAAATTATCTTAAACTAAAAAGGATTAGAAAAGGGCTGTACAGCATTTTGAGACGCTTCAAACGCCCGATTTGCGGAGGAATAGGGCCGGTCAACTTGTTGTTATGGAGATCCCTGTGACACAGACAGAGTCACATACAGATATAGTAGATTCTTCAAAACAAAGATCAAACTTTTAAGTTTTGAAAAAAATTAAAAACAACCAGAGGGTTATTGATTTATGCATTTGTATCTGATAAATTTATAGATTTTGAAACAGCAATTTGTATTAATTGTGATAGTTTTGGATAAATTAAATATCAGTAGATTGAAGAGGCGTGTGTTCTTACAGCCTAGTGAGATCCAAGAGATTGGTGACAGCAGTAGGGAAAGGCCCAACAATTGACACTGCATACACCTCCCTGCAAATTTGCAGAACGAGAAACAACACATAAATACATAATTTTTGGTTAAAGCTAAAAACTTTGGGGCGAAATCGAATGGAAGGTGGAAGAAGTGGTGTGCTTACAACTCGGTGACGACTCGGTAATCGCCTTGAGTGGAGCAAGTGACACCGGACCACGGCGGAAGGTCGCCGTCTCCGCACGGATCGTCGCCTACCCAGGCGTACACCACTCTCCACCCCAGCGAAGCCTTGATCTCGTTCAGTGCTTTCACTGTCACAAAAAACCACCCATTTCCATAATTCCCCAATCACATTCGCAGAGAGAGAGAGAGAGAGAGAGAGAGGTGTGAGGAGTCGAGGACTTACTGTCGCGTTTGAGGGTTTTGGCGTCGAGAAGCAGCGGAGGGAAGACGAGGAGGAGGACCAGAGAAAACGCGGCAATTGGAAGACGAACCGCCATTGTCGTCTCCAAAAGGGGATTTTGGAGATATCTCGCAGCAGATCTCTGATCTCAGACTTCTTCACTCACACACACCTTCCACTCGGATTAATTAAGTGGCACTTAATTATATGATTAGATCTAAAACTCTTTCCTTAATTATGATTTGTTAAGTAACTACCTGAGAGATTAGTGATTTCACTTGAGCTTCTTCGATCTCTCCTCTCCAGAGATTGGAACTCTGCCTTCGTCCTCCCGTCGGTGACCCTTTTTTCTTATTATTTTTTTCGTTTTAATTGTTTTTTCCTTTATTCTGATTGGTCGGGCCTCCTTCCGGCTGCTTTTTCTTTGGGCCTCTTCACTGGTGTTTCTTTTGGGCCTTGTCTCGTTTAGTTATTTACGGGGGTACTATGGGCTTTTATGGGCCTCTCGTTTTTTTTCTTTTCTCTAATAATTGAGCAGTATTTGAGTACATTGATATTTACACTAGAAGCGAGTGAGAGTTCGGTTAAATCATACAATAAGCAACCTAATTTGGTATCAAGTTCGTTATTCATCAGATTCAAACCTAAGACCTCTCACTTCTAAGCGAATAATAATATCACCAGATCGTATTACTAAGTGGTAATTGAGCAGTATTGAACGAGAGAAAATTTCAAACTTGGGGGTAAGGCATATTTTTTTTGTACACTCGAACTTCATTTTACTTATTTTTTGTAATAGCATTCTAAACTCGGGGGTAGGGCGTATTTTTTTGCTACATATTTCTCTAATGAGAACTCGATTTAATCCTTGCCACTGTTCAAATAAGCAAGTGTGTTGAGGAATACAAATATTTCCGTTTACACCCAATAACGCATTTCATTATCAAATTTCACTTTCATGATATATGCGATCCATATTTCACCTTATTAGACAAGAAAATAACAATACTTAAGATAGAAAAGTGTTATTCGCAAACTGAAAAAAAATTGAAAGCACAAACTAGAACTCTAAATTAAATTCACGTATTCATAGAAAAAGCTTCAACTTAATATACACACACGAAAACTTTTAATTTTGGACCCACATGGTACATGTTCGAAAGCAAAATGTCTACTTTGACCTCGAAAAAGAAAGCTATAGCTTTAAATATATTTATGATATTCATGGGCTTCTTTTGAATTACATGATGACGATATCTCCTCCTCCACCCACCCAATTTGAACTGGCGGCTCCGATCCCATGAAGAACATCAATTCAGGAAAATATGGGACCATTTCCATGCTTGTTTTTCCCGCTTCCACGAGAATTAATTTCTCATTAAATTATCGGGATAGTGATGATTAATTCAAAAACAAATATGAAAATAACGTGTACATGCGCTGATGAGTACTAATTAATTAAGAAAACTAATACACTAATTATAACAAGAGGATTAAGGAACTAAAGAACTAGCTAAACTCCTTGATAGCAATATTATACCGGTCCCCATGCATGATCGTCGTTCTCGTTCATCATTTCGTTATGAAGACGGAAAACGGACTCGAATATGGCTGCTGGATCAAGGAATTAAACGCTCAAGAACCGATCAAGAACGATAAGTATTTATATATTCGTGGTAAAATATTCAGATATTTGTTTGATGAGGACGTTACTTGGGGTGCAGGGTAACTTGACGATGAGGTAATGGATTTGCACTTTCAATTGTGAAGAGGGTTGGGACCGGAGGGGACGAGTCTCTTCTCGACGCCGTATCTTGGGTCAATCTCGTGACCATCTTGATCTTGATGGTCGTCGTGAGCCGGCTGTGAGGGGCTCGACGAGGATAGTGGTGGCTGCGAGAGGGGAAGGTAGCCGTGGAATATTCTGTGGTGGGTGAGTTGAAGGCACAAAGAACGTAACTGGGCACTCGACGATTCCGAAACTGAAGTCGGATGATCGCAATTACGGTGGTGGTGGAGGTTTCTTGGCGTAACATTGATTGGGTGAGAGATGGGTGCGGCAGCTGATGTGACAAAAAGTAGTGAAATGAAGACTGCCGCCGCGGCCATTAGAAAACGCCGCCGGAGGCCGAAAGTGGAGGAGGGAAACGAAAAAGAAGAGAGAGAGCTCTTCGTCATTCTTGGGAAGAGAGAGAGAGAGAGAGAGAGAGAGATGGGAAGGGGGGAGTGGTTTAGAAGGGGAGAAACTTTTTAGGTGTTTGGGATGATGATGATGGTGATGGAATTGTAGTAGTAAAACTAAAGGGAGTTTAATGCAAAGGAAAGGCGCAAGAGGCACATGAAGGACTTAAATTTATAATTACAATTGCCGAGGCTCATTATCCGTTCCATTATCTCCATTCATCAATATATTGAATACTTGACTCATTTTTGTGTCTTATTTTTTTAATCGGTAATTATTGTTTTCAGTAATTTATATATGTAAAAGTCAACATATCTGTATTTTAAAGTATGTCAATAAATATATATCGTTATTATCTTTGCATCATTAGGGGTGAATTTAGCTACACTAGGTTGGTTGCCACAAGGAAGAAACTTACTTATGTTGGAAACCATGATGGGGAGGTGCACGACACGGTTGGGATTCTGGCGTCGGGGCAAGTTCTCGGTGGTAGTGGAGCTGGTGTAGGCGGTATCAAGTCTGTTGATATCGGTAGCGGTGGTGGTGATGGATTATTAGGAGCAGTGGGGAGTGTACATTCTCTTGGTTTGTGAAGGAACAAGCGTGTTGGTGCTTGGGGTTTTTATAGGATATGTTGGGGGGTTATATTTCATATTCCAGGAAAAAGGCCGTCCCAGGAAATAACTGGACTCCTGTGAAGAGTGAGGAAACGTGAGCGGGAAGGCATCCTGATTGCCTGTTGTACAACTGCAGATTGCAGTGTTTGTAAATGTTCAAACTTTCTTCACACAGTTGGTGTCGGTAGCGATTTTCACTCCCGTATTCTCTTCCCGCCATCATCCCCTTATTTCTGTCCCGTCCCGGGATCTTATTTGATTTATACGATCCAAAAGTTAGGAAGAAAAAAGGAGTGGAGGAGAAGAAAATTGGAATGCAGAACTATATATTGTAATTTAGAGCTGTATGGTGAAATCTGAACAAAAAGGCTCCTTTTATTGCATGCATATCCCAAATAGGGGAAACCAGTTATATACAATCGAAAGTGGAAAAGATTTCTGTAGTTACAGTAACTAATGTTAGGCTGCTGGTATTTGTAAGGCTGTTGGTCTTCACCCAAGCAATCGTCGTGTACGTTGATTGGCACCTTTCACTCGAGAGTTCAGCTCATCAACATCGTCAGAGAGATTATCAATAGCTTTGTTTTGCCTGCATTTACCATATTATTAACAATAATGCGAACATGTATACGAAATCGTGAAGAAAGTTCACAGAGAAGAACAAAGATATTAACCTGTCAATTTCACTTCCCATGTCCATAGCCATACCCTTCAAATCTCCCAATATATTGCTTAGGTCAGAAAGAGCATCATCTTGCTTTGCCTTCTCATGCTGATATTCACAAACCGGTCCCATATGAGTAAATATGGAGAGCACGTAGCCATATTCTTGACAATCGTAATCGCAAAAACTTACCTCGACTTTTTGCAAGGCACCTGATCCTTCGGGAGGAGGCGTCGCAGGAGCTGACCGCCCTTTCGGAGCTATACCCAACTTTTCCTTCTGCTGTGGGTCAGCTTTTTTGGGTGCAGCTGAACATGATCAACAGATGCAATAAGCTTCATGAGGTTTTGAAGAATTAGGATATGAAGCAAGCAGATTATAACAGAAGCAAACCTAATGACAAATCAGGCCCCGAAATATCCTTGGTCTTCTTCGGCTTCCAAGGCATTGAGAACATGCCTCCAAGATTGTTTAAAATCTTCTCACCCTGTTTTCAGAATGCATCAATAGGTATCACAAGCAATATATAAATCGTCTAGGAATAACTAAAATCATGACAACAGGGAGAGGTTACCCGACTCAAATCCTTATCGATATCAACAGCCGCCATGTGAGTCCTTGTAATTTGCTCACCCTGCTGGTGCAACATGTCTAGTGTACTTGTCGCATCCCCTCTGATGTCCTCGGCAATCCTGAGGCAGTTATTGACACTCTTTGTTGTCTCCTCGGCCTTGTTAACGGCATATTTCTCTAACTCTTGCATACTCTGCTGCTCTAATGGTTTTTTTTCGTTACTGAAATCCGGGGTGACAAGCATAGGTTCCGAAGAAGTTCTTCTCGCGGGGTTAAGCGTGTTCTTCCCGGCATCTGAATCAGCTTGAGCAATCTTTGCAGGTGATTTTTTTAACCCAAACATTTTGGCAAGAAACCAATAGTTGTCCAAGTGGTAAGGTTTTTTTAATTATTTTTACCAAAAGTCACTAAATCAAAAGGAAATTGATTGAATCCTTGTGAAGATTCTAATATGGTACCTACAATCTCAGAAAAAAAGTTATACGATGAGAACAAATTCATAAACTAACAGCAATTAAGTATTTAAGCGATATTCTAAACTACTATAAATCATTTTAATATACTACTACAAGAATGAGCAAGTTGTATTGTCCAACTAACCTAACCCACGTCTGTAAAAGACCACGAATTTAGAAACAGAAGATCAAAAGTAGGGTTTCCCAATTTCTTTCTAATACCGCATTCTTCACTTGCCCTACATTTTCATACCACATTGCAATATTCCACTACATTCAATAACAAAAGCAAAAAGCTGAAGAGTTGATCACCAAAAATTACAACATGGGATGTGATCATGACCAAGAAATGTACCTAGAAATTTCGATAAAAATGGAAACTTGGTAGTGTTTTATACACAAACCACTGCGGTTTTTGGGCTACAATTTGGTTTGTGCTTGAAACGAAAAGAGGAATTTGAGAAGAAATTAGAGAGAAACAAAGGATTTTCTGTGGATAAGTATTTATTTTTTATGTATGTGGCTGTGAAAAAAAAAATCAGAGAGAGAGGCACCGCGCAAAAGTAGAGAAATTGGACGGCTCTAACCTCCTCCGAGTCCAAGTCCAACTTTGAGAGACCGTTGGGAGGGACTTACCTGCTTCCCTCCTCAAATTTCCTCAGTTTGTATTATTTTTGTGGATAAATAAAGGATTATTGTCAAGACATGTATGCATGCCACGTGGTGCCACGTGGGTGAAGCAGATGGCCACCTGTCACTATGGTCCATTGGCAATTTGTAGGCTTCTTGTTGGGTTATTAAAATCCCAAAATGGCCCTCTTCCATTGGGTCTGATTTTGGGTTAGAGAGAGTCATTGGTGGCCCAAACCTTTATTCCATTCTGGAATTTCTTATGATGCGGCATTTTTACAGTATGCCTATAATACACAGCGGAATGTTATATGTTATTATACAATTGGAGAGACATTTGAAAGAAAAATTATTCTAATTGTATAATAAGATATGATTTACCACTTCGTATTTCAAACACATTGAAAATTTTCTCCTCATAATGAGAGCGGATATGAGATTGAGACTTGTACATTGTAGATGAGAACACCAATAAATTAGTTGGTAGCTGGTTCATTCTAAAATTGTTAGATACCAATCTTTTGCCCTATGATTATTTTTTCAGTGTGATCGTTAAATTGTGATATGAAGTTTTTAGAGCTCTCATGTTATAATATGTGTATATGTTTATCATTATATAACTTAATCCTATGAAATATCATTCAAGTTGTTGGCTCATATATAACATTTCGATTAGTAATACAACGTGAGATGAGAATCACGCTAAAAAACTTGCGAGGAATGGATGGACAACAAAATTTCTTGAAAAGGGTGATTTGGAAAATGAATTAGCAACAAACAAAGATCAAACTCCAGATAAAAAACAACAAATTAACAAAATCAAAGTGGCTAGTTGCAATTTGAAGGGGCAAGTCACCAAAATAAGGTGATAGTTGCTTGCATGGTAGGGCAAGTTGTTAGGATAACGGAACGGCCCACTTGTCTTGACTAAAAGTGAGATCATAACCTTCACGTACTTTTCAAGAAATTTCAAGGAAATGCAGGAACAATATCATGCAAATAATTGTGCCAAATTTTCAGTTAAAGTGAATAATGCCAACGAGGGTTGGTTGAGTTAGTAAGAATCGTTATTTTCATTAAATCAAAGCTTAGGTTCGAGTTCTACTATCAGCTACCTTTTTCAGTGGCGATCTATAAAAACTAAAAAATGAACTAAAATCTCTTGTAAATTCTCGAAGAAGTTTGTGATATACTCTGATTCTAAAATGGGGTAGCTCCCCTCCTCGTAAGCTTTTTCAGGATGAAAAGCACACGGAGTAAGAACAAAAAATTTCATTAATTGGATTAAGGCCAATTAATTGAAAAAAAGATTAATGTGGTAAACTAAGTAATAGTGGAGACGTTGGAAAACGACGAATCAAAGCATTTCCCTCGTCTAAAACATGAGGAGGATAAGCAGACAAAAGGCAACACACTCTCTCTTTCACTCATTCTCTCCTTGCTCTGCTACTAACTTTCTCAGAGGGATACTGAGAAAGCAATGGCGGCATTACCATTCTCCACGAAATCAACGCCGTCAAAGTTCGTCTCAACCTTCATACACTCCAACCACATAAGAAGAAACTCGAGACCGTTTTTTATCACAACAACCACTTGTTCCCGCAGCCGAGCAAGGAGGCAGCTTCGTGTGAAGAACGTGGCGACTGATGAGAAAGATGTCGCCACTCAAACCCAACAAGGTTTGGTTAAATTTGTTTCCTTTTGATTTAGAATTTTGGTTGCAACGTGCTTTTTTCACATAAGTGAAAAGATTTGATGCTTTCATAGCCAATTGCATAAGCACTTTCTACCGATCTCAGCTGAGGTGGGAACTTACTTTGCTAAATCAATTTTAAGTCAAAGGGTTCAGCACAATCTCACTTTGAAGATTTCATTGCCCCGTCACTGAATTTTTTTCTAGGAGCCCAATCGTTGTGCGTTTGAAAATGCTTCTCTAGACAGCACTTCAGCTCAAAAGCGTTTTCTTAAAAGCAAGTTGAAATTCTCTCTTCGATGTATTTTGCTAACCCAGAAGCACATTCAACTTTTTCTATGTTGTCAAAAGCACTTTCAATAATTTGGGAGTTTACCACTTACAAAAATCTTTATATTCACTCATTTATATCGACTTGATTAAGTTGTTATTTGATTTGATCAAATGTTTCAGGCAGTTTGGCTACAAATCCTCCGGATTCTTCATCCATTGCATCGAATATCAAATACCATGCCGAATTCACACCCTCTTTCTCTATCGAATCTTTCGCGCTTCCCAAGGCATTCTATGCTACCGCTGAAAGTGTTCGTGACATGCTCATTGTTAATTGGAACGCTACATATGAGTACTATGACAGGCTGAATGTAAAGCAGGCATATTATCTCTCAATGGAGTTTCTACAGGTTTGCCATGAGCTTCTCTTTTTATCCTGATGCCGAAAATAACCTCTATTTTGTATACATTGCTTGTTGAGCATAAGGACGTCTCATCTGTTATGTTTTAAAATTGTTGCAGGGAAGAGCATTGCTGAATGCCATTGGTAACTTGGAGCTTTCGGGGGCTTATGCAGACGCCTTGAAAACGCTAGGGCACAATCTAGAGGATGTAGCTAGGCAGGTCAGATGCCCTGACCATTTGATTAACTTTACTGCGATTTCCGTTGAGCATTCCTTCGAATGGACTTACTTAATATTGTCTGGTTACTTTGGCAGTCTCTAAATTTTGTGTTGTTAATTGACAGGAACCGGATGCTGCGCTTGGAAATGGCGGGTTGGGGAGGCTTGCTTCATGCTTTTTGGACTCCCTGGCCACTCAAAATTACCCGGCATGGGGATACGGACTCAGATACAAGTATGGCTTATTTAAACAGCACATTACAAAAGATGGGCAGGAGGAAGTTGCTGAAAATTGGCTGGAGGTTTAATCATTGAGACTTACTTTTTCCTGTTCTGTTAAAAGTCATTCACTAAATTTTGTTGATTAAGAACACTATCCCTTATCAGATGGGAAATCCGTGGGAAATTCCAAGAAATGATGTGAGCTATCCTGTAAAATTCTACGGCGAAGTTGTTTCTGGGCTAGATGGAAAAAAGACATGGATTGGAGGAGAAAATGTCACAGCGGTTGCCTATGATGTCCCCATACCAGGATTTAAAACTAAAACCACCATAAACCTTCGACTTTGGTCCACAAAAGTAGCACCAGAAGAGTTTGATTCACATGCTTTCAACACTGGAGATCATGCCAAGGCGTATGCAGCTCTAAAGAATGCCGAAAAGGTTAGTATGTGTTCATCATAATTGTTACACTTATTCTTCCAAATCTGCATGGTTGTGTTACTTTAATCTTTTCATCTTCATTAGATCTGTTATGTATTGTACCCTGGGGATGAATCCATGGAGGGAAAATCACTTCGGTTAAAGCAACAGTACACATTGTGTTCGGCTTCTCTCCAAGATATAGTTGCGCGGTTTGAGAGAAGATCGGGGGAGTCTGAAATGGGAGGAGTTTCCTGAGAAGGTTGCAGTGCAGATGAATGATACTCATCCAACTCTCTGCATCCCGGAGTTGATAAGGATATTGATGGACGTTAAGGGCTTGAGCTGGACGGAAGCCTGGGATATTACTCGAAGGTACTTCCCTTCTCGATATTTTGACTAGTTATTTAGCTGCAAGTTGGCGCATTCCCTGTGACTTGGAGTGTTTTCCTTACATGTATAGTTATATATAAGTGAATGCTTTTTCATTCGTCGATTATCTTGCAGAACTGTTGCATACACTAATCATACAGTATTACCTGAGGCATTGGAGAAATGGAGTTTGCAGCTCATACAGGAATTACTTCCTCGACACGTTGAGATCATAAGAACGATTGATGAGGAGGTAATATTCAGCGTTCTGCGATAAAAATTCATTTAATGAGCAAAAGGTTCATTCTTTACTTTCTACTGTAGTATGTAACATATTCGTCTTCTTGACCAGCTAATTCATACCATTATTGCTGAGTACGGCACAGAGGATCTTAACTTGTTGGAACAAAAACTGAGAGAAATGAGAATTCTTGATAATATCGATCTGCCTGACTCAGTCATTGGAATTCTCTGTAAATCAGAAGAAAGTTCTGCAGTTGATCACGTTGAGGAAGTCGATTTTTCTGATAAAGAAGCTAAAACCACTGATGAAGTAGGTCAATCTAAAGTACTGGACACTAATACAAAAAATGAGGTTACATTGGAACCGGATCCTAAACTTCCAAAGACGGTGAGAATGGCTAATCTATGCATTGCTGGTGGACATGCAGTAAACGGCGTTGCTGAGATTCACAGCGAAATAGTGAAGAACGAAGTATTTAACGATTTCCATAAGGTATAAACCCTATAACAAAACTTGGAAGTGTTACTGACGTCCATTTAGTATTTGCATATTTTTTGTCCACTATTTTTCACATAATATTAATACCTCTGGCAGTTGTGGCCTGAGAAATTTCAAAACAAGACAAATGGGGTGACACCGAGAAGATGGATTCGTTTCTGCAATCCAGGTCTAAGTAAAATTATAACCAAATGGATTGGAACAGACGATTGGGTAAGAAATACTGACATGTTGGTCACCCTTCGGAAGGTAAGATGTCATAACTAGCTAAACTGCAAGTCATTGAATACATAGCTGCTGGTCATTTGATTTTCCTTCACTTCAATATATGAATTTCAATATTTATAAATCTCACTTTTGTGTAAGATGATAGCAAGTTCCATCAGCATTGTGCAAACTACCTGCATCACGCAAATGTACTGAATTTTTTTGCTTGTTCTATATAGTCTCCTTTTACACATTGCGTAACTTCTTAACAGTTTGCTGATAATGAAGAACTCCAATCCGAATGGAGGGAAGCAAAAAGGAGAAACAAGATTAAGGTTGCATCCTTCCTCAAGGAAAAAACTGGTTATCTAGTCAACCCTGACGCAATGTTTGATGTGCAAGTAAACTTCTGATCCAATAAATATTTCCCCTGTTTCCTCGGGTCCTGTTTTTCAACTAAATTTATATATAATATCAGGTGAAGCGCATTCATGAATACAAACGGCAGCTATTGAACATCCTGGGTATCATTTATCGCTACAAGAAAATGAAGGAAATGAGTCCTGAGGAAAGAAAAGCAAAGTTTGTTCCAAGGGTGTGTATATTTGGAGGAAAGGCATTCGCAACCTACATCCAAGCGAAAAGGATTGTGAAATTTATCACAGATGTAGGAGCCACAGTGAATTGCGATCGGGACATAGGTGACCTTTTAAAGGTATGTTTTTGGCTCATAGAAATTATCAGCTGCTTCACCATGTCCATTCTTGTCAATAATTTTGAGTGAGTTGCTCAAGTGTACATGTCTTTGATGTTTCAACCACAGGTTGTGTTTGTTCCTGACTACAATGTCAGTGTTGCTGAAGTGCTTATTCCCGGTAGTGAGCTCTCCCAGCATATCAGGTTTCTAGATTCATTTCTGCACAATTGCTTCAATTACAAGTTATCATTGGTCTCATAAACTTCTGGCCTCTTTGGGAATGCTGTTATAGAAAGCAGTTATGTTCATAAGCGCTTTTGCTAGAAGCATAACAAAGTTCTTAAGAAAAATTCAAGTGCATTTGGAAGCACTTCTCAAGGAAGCACTTGATAGGTGCTTCTCATAGAAAGCACCATAACCCAAATACTTTAAACTTTTTTTCTGTCAAACGTTCATGAAAGTGCTTCTGGTTGTCTGAAAACGTTTCTGAACTTCGCATAAGCATAAATAATGGTAATCATGGTACTAAATCTGTGGCTCTCTCAGCACTGCTGGAATGGAGGCGAGTGGAACTAGCAACATGAAGTTTGCAATGAATGGTTGCGTACAAATTGGAACCCTAGATGGGGCAAATGTCGAAATAAGAGAAGAGGTTGGAGAGGACAACTTTTTCCTCTTTGGTGCACATGCTCATGAAATTGCCGGGCTAAGGAAAGAAAGATCTGAAGGAAAGGTAGAATATATGATTAGTTGATTACTAATCACTCAGTTAACAAACTATTAGACCTAATTAACATATAATGTAGTTCGTTCCGGACCCGCGGTTCGAAGAAGTGAAGGCATTTGTGAGAACCGGCGTGTTTGGTCCTTACAACTATGATGAACTCATGGGATCATTGGAAGGAAATGAAGGTTATGGTCGTGCTGATTACTTTCTCGTTGGCAAGGACTTCCCTAGTTACCTTGAGTGCCAAGACAAGGTTGATGAGGCATATCGAGACCAAAAGGTGATTGTATATTATTTGAACAACTAATTCATTACTTCTTTTCTCGTTGAACGTTAACTTCCTTATAAATGTACACGAACATGGTGCAGAGATGGACGAGGAAGTCGATTTTGAACACAGCTGGTTCGTACAAGTTCAGCAGTGACCGTACAATTCATGAATACGCGAGAGACATATGGAAGATTGAACCTGTTGTTTTCCAGTAGAGTGAAAGGTAAATAGCTAAGCTTATATAGCTAGGTTGTGGAGCAAATTCAGATCAGTAATTAGCGTCACATTAATATATTAATTGGTTAACGCTCATATATTTAGAGTGATGTTATTCTCATCCCAATGTCTTATCTTCCTACCCACCTTTTAATGAATTTTTTTAATTACAAATTTGTCTATTTGCAAAAAGACTGATAAGGACATTAATTATCTTGTTTTGCTTAAATTTTGTTTTAAAAAAAAGTTTGGGCGTGGGAGACGATTTGTCTACCTTAAACCCTAACTCGTATTTTCATCTACTTCATTTAGAGAAAGTAAAAACATATCAACGGACTTAGAAGATGACCTTTTCATTGAACAGGTGGAAGTGACGCTTCTACGGAAGAAGTAGAAGACTATGTTTCTATTGAAAAGGTAGAAGAGTAATTTGTGTGTAGGTCATTTGAATTTGTCCATTGTATTTTTGAATTTGTCGTTGTCGAATTCTTTTGAATTTGGATACCTCTGTCGTTTCCATTTGAATTTGCAGACCTTAGTGGTTTTCATTTAGATATTATTTGTTATATTTTTTAAGAGACAATTTTATAATTTCATATGTATGTATATATTAAAGGTTATTTTGGGAATAATAGTGGGTGGGGAAATAGCATTTTATTTTTTTAACTTTTTAAGATGGGTGGGATTATAACGTGGGTGGGAAAATAAGATAATGAGGTAGGTCTAATAGCTCTCTACATTTATATACATATATAGTGAGGTAGCTCTCTCTCATGGTGATGGTAATGTTCCTCTTAACCCTAGCTCCTTTAAAAAAGAATAATGGTTCTATCAAGTGCCATTTTTGAGGAAGCCAATCAGTTTTGAATCCAACTCAAAGCACAATATTCCGAATCCTAGTTTAGAGTCCTCCTCCTTTAACTTAATTTAAAAGGTATTCCCTCTCTTTCCCATGCTCCTTTAAAATTACCTTTCTAAAGGAACTCTTTTACCAATAAATTGGTTTAATTTGCCCGAGTTAATAATTAGCTTACTGTTTTCAACTAAAGTTCAAAACTCAAAAGTTAACTAGCTTGCCATTTTCTCCATTAACCATATTTTTTTTTAGTTGTTGGGAGGATCCCCATCGATGAGATTCCTAAGGAGAAATGTCTTCACCATTTAAAGTGGATTGGAATTTGGAACTGGCCGCCTAACAATGTGAGATAACATAATTTATGAAAAATGCCTCGATTGGAATATGATTCTTTTAATAAAAGTTGTTTTGGAACTCATTCGATTTCTTTCTCCTTGTCACGCAAATGATAAATTAACCTATCACCTAGAGTTCCTAGGCCAACAACACACCACCACCTTTAAATAGAGAAAAACTATAGTATTACTCCTACTTTAATAATGCAATGGTTACTGGTGACGGAGTCAGAGATTTTGTTACGAGGATCAAATTTTATATGAGTATAAGATCTATTTTTTATATAATGATATTTTATTTTACACAATGAGGTGAGGGATTTGACTAAATCACATAATGAGAGCCAAATGTAAAACCTCTCACCTTCAATTGAAAATAATTAGTCTAAACAGTATTTATCGTAAATACTAATACATAATCTCTAATTCATTCTAATTATGCAGTATCTCTATTGTTTGTCTTTTTAGTGTTTCACTATTTCTCATTAGCTGTTTATAATAAATTTCTATGTAGTAGACGGATAATTATCATTCCAAAAGTTATTATACATATACTTTTCTTGACCTACTTTAACTAAAAGCCAAACAACATTAGTAAGGAATTCAATAATTATCAAGGCGAGAAGGGTCAAAGCAAAACAAACTTAGCAAAATATGAGGAGCAAAACTACATTGCCATAGTGATGCAAAAGATGCGTGACAACTCGTTCCGAATTTTACGGAATAGAAGGGTATTTTTGGTAAATTCTTTTGGGCTATGGGATATTTGGTTTAAAATATTGTTTTTAGGGCCTTAATAGGTGTGCCCAAGGGGCCCACCTTTGGATTTTGTCCCCTCGGCCCACTATTCTCTCTCTCTCTCTCTCTCTCTCTTCCTCACTTTCTCTCAACTCTCCCGTGCTCTTTCTCTCTCAGATCCCTTAGCCATCTCTCTTTCCCAAGGACCAGTACACACCCATTACACACCTGCAACGGGCGACCACACCCTCATCAAAACGCTTGGCATCGACGGAACCACCATTTTTTAGTGACAACGTAACTCGGGACTAAAGGAACCCTCTTTTTCCGGTGAGTCCAACGGCTTTCGAGCCGATTTCCGGCCACTACTTGGGAAACCAAAGTTTCGGGCGACCTCCGCCAATTTCGAGGCTATTTCCGACCAAACCACGGCTAGTTAGCCGTCGTGCAAGGTGCATTTATTGTGGCATTTCCGTCTTCACTAGTTTGCGTGGCTTTTCGAAGACGGAGTATCTATGAGTGGTCCCCTTCTAAAATGCATGTTTTAAAAGTAGAAATGCATATGTGAAAAGCATGATTTAATGGTTACGTTTTATGAGTAAATTAGATTTACACTTATGATATATCATGCTTTACTGTAAATATTTTGGAATACCATATTTTATTGAACTTATGTTCTTTGTAGTATATATGATGGATGACTATATACTATTTATGAACATGTTTCTTTACACTTTTTTATAGTATATATGATGGATAACTATATGCTATGAAGATGATTTTGAGATATATGTACTTATGTTTGGAATCAGTACATTCAAGGATTTGTGCATATTTAGTGATCACTATTTTGCCTACGGGCAATGATACTTATATTGACCTACGGGTTGGGTGCTGTAGGAGCCTACGGGCGATTGATACTTGTGAAAGAAGTGTTCTGAAGGAAGAGTTCTATATGCCTTCGGGCGATACTAATACCACTAGTTAGCACACTATATACTATATATGTTTTTATGACATGCTAGGGTTTCGGAAAACCTATCACATATTATTCTATTAGTTTTCATAAAACTTTGGGGGTTAGTACGTTATTGAACAACTGTTTCAGTATTATATATATATATATATCAACTTGGTCCACTTATGTTTGTTTTGCACCCCCTTAAGACTTAGATTCGAGGCGTACAACTCAGGTGTTAAGGCACTCCCGCATTGGCATCTTCGAGTCCTCTCCGTGTAGGACCCATCTCTTGTTCATTCAATTTTTTGTTATTCCCTTTAGTGTCTAGGGTTAGTTATATGCTCTGAACACGTTTCTCATTTGTATATTAATTACATTTAAATTTATAAGTCTTATTTATATTCATTGGTTCACATGCATTCTAGTATGGCTTTGTCACCTTCGGGTGTCGGCCAGCACATGTATACCCTGGTATTTGGGGAATATTAGGGTCGGGCGTGTTAAGATGACCCTTCTAAGCCTTAATTGGCTTCGCCCTTGGTTACTGGCCTACTGCAACTGATGTATTAGTTTGTAAAATTGATATGGTCCATCTCTATAATCAATCTAAAAATTCTACAATGCTCAGGTGCATGCCAATATCTTTTCTTCATCTAGTTGGTCGAAGAGTCCAAAGAAACAAACGATAAAATTCTGAAGCATATCATGCTCTTATGCATAGTTGAAAATAATAATAATAATAAAAAGGGAAAAACTACTCCAAAAACCCTAAGCATAAATTGCAGATGCATATTGTGATATTGATGTACGATGATTAACGCGGGAAAAATATAGATCTATGAAGTTGGACTTGCATGCCCTAGCATTATAGTTCACAAATGTGTTTGTTCTGCCCTAGTTTGTTAGCTAGCTACACCATGAAGTGCATGACTTTTCAAGCCATTTATACAGTTGCGAGTTTTTTAATATTAAGCTGCAGAATGAGAGCCAATAGCATATCTGTATGTATATATATATTTAAATCTTTAATATTTATTTTATACAAAGTTTAAACATTTTTGTTTTCCCTGTCTGGGTTTCTTAAACTTATGATGTGATTGAAGTGGTTAAGTAATCGGCAGGCTCTTTCTAATGCCAATGCAACTCATACATTGAAGGAAAATAAAAAAAGAAAAGGCCATATAGAACTTTTGTAAGGTGGTCCCTCCTTAATTTCAAGGTGAGAAATATTAAGAAAACTCTCTTAAAAATGAGATTTTTTATGTATTCTCTGTCACTTCATATTTTTAACATAATATTTTATAATATTGACATAAGAATTAACGTCAAATCATAAGATAACCAAAAGTTCATGAAGAGTTCTACTTTGAGAGAAGTTTTTTTCTTTCATACAGCACATAAACAAAGTTATTTACATTGTAAAGTAACACCACTTGATAAAAAATGATTCTATAAGATATATTATATATAATGTATAAAGCTAAAGTTAAAAAGAAGGACACTCGATCTCCAACAATTATTTGTGCATGAAAGCTAGCTAGCAATATTTGGTTCATGCATATACATATTATTTGGTATATTTCACTTCCGACATGCATATATTTGTGTGAGCCGTTAAGATTCCACAGAACATATATCTTTTGGTCCAAATGGTTGTGTATGTCCCTTTCAGTGCTAGGGTTTTGCAAGGGAACGGTACAAAATGGTTTCTCAAGCTAAAATCATGGCATTTGCCGCCACTAGGGTTCAATGCTTCAGGTTATTGGGATAATGCCGTTGACCTAATTCTTTGTGTGATATTTATGCTTTTTATGTAATATTTATGCTTGTAATAAAGTGATCTGGATCTTTTTCTTACATTTATCTGAAATTGCTTATATTTATCTGATAAAATATGAATTGCTTACAACAATATGCCTCCCCTGTCAATATATACTTCTTTAGAGCGAGGGTAAACCAAAAGTAGAAAGAAACTCGAGGAAAGTGCTCCTTGAAAATTTGATAACAAAACTTTTGAGTCCTTATCATATAATTTGCTACATAATTAACCAACGATCACCAGCGACGAAAAAAAAATTAAAACCCATATGAACAGGAAGTGCTTGGCCGAACTTCCAAACTTTATGTTTCTGTTTGGTCGATCGGAACCCAAATCGTTCTTTGTTTGAAAATTAAAAAAATTAAAAAATTAAAAATAAATAAAAAATAAAAAAGGACAAAAAAAAGACAAAAAGTTGGTCTTTATCACATTAATTTGGGCATTGCTAGTGCTGCAGAGAATACAGATGCAGATCCTTGGGAGATTATGAAAATGATATATTGAGCCTCATGAATCATCATTTGCATACATTAATCTCATAACGATTTGATTGGTACCTTTTAAATTTATATTCCATACTATTATAATAAGAAGATTATGCTAAATATGGTGCACATGAATGGAAGAGGCACATGAATGGAAGAGGATCCTCTTCGGATTCACTTTGTGAGGAACTTAGGGATCCACATATCCTAGCCGTTCATCTTATATTGTGCGGTCAGTTTTCATCAGATACTATTTGTGTTTAATTTTAAATAAAAAAAATCAAATGATTTATGATCGCACAATATACGATGAATGGCTAAGATGTGTGGATTCCTAGGATCCCCACAAAGTAGATCCAAATGGGATCCAATTCCCACCTGAATTATCTAATCCATCCGTTT